TATCGCAAAAACGAATAATTAAATTGTTGTTTAACCTTAGTTTTGGCAAAAATTGAAAATACATATTTATCCAAAATAAGTTCTTGATGGTTTATGGTATTTAAATATACAAGTGTGTTAACTATGTAAAGTAAGACATCAACGATTCTAGTCAGACAAGACAAAGTCAGCATCACAACAATAAGACCAGAAATTCTATTTTGAAAGCAAATCGTTTCAAAAAGTGATCCCAATTCAATTACATATCATTGCATAGTAGCCTACCTTGAGATCTGTGAAATATAGAGAGCCACATCAAATTTAAAAATAAGCTTTTTAGTATTGAAGTGAGAAATGTTGATACTCTATAAATAAACTTTTAAATTTTCTGAATCAGTAAGCAATATGTTTTTTTATATAGAGTTTTAACAAGTAGCTATTCCACTCTAGTTTTGTTTTTAGCAACTACTTAACAAAACACTACTTAGCTTATTACCGATATAATCTAGTCATAATGAATTTGTATTTTTTCCATATACAGGGTTAATGATATGTAAATATTTAAGAATGTGAATCTACATGAAAAATTAATGTTAGTTTGCTTCATAAACTATGGTCCAAAAATGTTTCCTTACAAAAACTCGGGGTGTTGAAGTTTTAGGAAAAAAATGGAAATTAATTAATATTTTCAACCGCTTCAGATATTTCTCTGTTATTCAGTACGTAGTGAAAGTTAATAAAGTTGCATATTTTTCAATGCAAAAATAATTTTTAGCTTATACAGTGGCGTGCGTACGGGAATTGACTTCGATATTTTTAAGGAAAAAATGGTACGCCAATGGTTTTTTGCCAAATAAAAATTATTCTTGAATTCCTGGTTCAGTTTAAAATAAATGATCTCTCTTGAATTGTTTTCCCTCGATGCGTCATTTTTGAGTAAAAAAATAAAAACCGTTCTATTGTCTAACTTGCAAAATTATTATTAATTTAATTGGAAAAATTAAACACAATAGGGGTAATGAACAACAACAACTGACAACACAAACATAACATTAAAAACCAACGAACTGATTACAAAGATTGTTGAAAATGGCCCCCTTCACTTAGTATGCATGCTTCCGCCCTCCTACTCATGGAATTGCCCACTAGTTTCTCTTAATTCCTCTACGGTGTTAATGGGACTTGTGTCTTAAGATAGCCGTACAAAAAGGAATCTCAACTCTTGAGGTCTGGGGACCTTGGTAGACATTCTTGGGGCCCACCGCGGCCAATCCAACGATTTGGATAAACAGTTTGTAAATAATTACGAACCGCTACACTGAAATGCGCTGGTGCACCATTATGCATGTACCACATATTGTTTCTTATTACTAACGGAACATCATCAAGCAGCAAAGGCAACTGTTGTTGAAAAAAATTGAGGTAAGTCTGTCCGTCAAGTCGTCCCGGCAAGAAGAATGGGCCAATAAAGTGGTTGCCGATAATTCCTGCTCATTTGTTAATCGAAAATTGGTGTTGGAAATGGGTTTCGGTTACGGTGGGGATTTTCTTCTGCCCACCAATGATTATTGTGGAAATTCTGAATGTCATTTCGAGAAAAATTACCTTCGTCCGTGAACAGAATCATTGATTCAAATTGCGGATTTAGTGTATTTATTTGAAGATACCACTGACAAAAGGTCACACGCCTTGGAAAATCAATGGGAAGTAATGCCTGTACTCTTAAAATATGGTAAGGGTAAAATTCTCCAAACAATTTGATGGCATATATTTGAATGTCTAGGGATCTTGTCTCGAACTCGTCTCGGGATGTTCTTCGACTTCGTGCAGCACTGCTTCCTCAATTTTAGGTGTTTTCACACTTAGAGGTCTACCTTCACATGTTCGGACAGAACCAGTTTCAACAAGACGACGATGGATATTAGGAAAGGTTCGACTATCAGGCAAAGCACGATCGGGATACCTCTGGTGATAAATCCGTCTGGCTTGCTCACCATTACCGTCGGCAAGGCCATATACGTAATGCATTTCCTCCATTTCTGCAATGAATAATTTACCATTATTAACAAGATTGTAAAAACTAAATAATGAAAAAGGTGTCACAGCGAACAGATTTGAATAACAGAGACTTGTCAGATGTCAAAAGCCAGTGACATTCCAGAGCAACTAGATATTTATTGTTAAATTGCATTCTTCTTCATTACATTAATTTTCTCGGTTTTTATTTTTTTTACTCAAAAATGGCACATCGAATGAAAACAATTCACGAAAGATCATTTGAATTATACGGGGAATTCAAGAATAATTTTTACTTGGCAAAAAACCATTGGCATACCATTATTTTCTTAAAAAATATCAATACCCGTACGCACGCCACTGTTAAAGCTAAAAATTATTTTTGCATTGAAAAATATGCAGCTTTAGTAACTTTCACTACATACTAAATATCAGTGAAGTATCTGAAGCGATTCTGAAAATATTAATTAATTTTCATTTTTTTTTCAAACTTCAACACCCCGAATTTTTGTAAGGAAACATTTTTGGACCATAGTTTATACAGCAAACTAACATTAATTTTTCATGTAGATTCACATTCTTAAACATCCGCATATCATTAAAGAACACCCTGTCTTTGTTTATAGTGTGGTGCAACACTATTAACTCATTCTCGCCTCAAAGGTTTTGCCGTGCACTTCAACCTCTGGGTGTTGTGGCTGAAAACTAAATATTTCTCCACATTTAAACATAATAAACTATCTTCAAATGTGTCGTTACGAGCGAAGATTAAGATAACTCGGCGTAACGTTTCCTCTATTTATATTTCTATCAGCAATGAATCATATCTGCCCTTGGTAGTCATATCTGAGTTCATATTAAATCTATTATTTGAAATTCACTGAAATACAGAATCGCACATGGAACTCTGGGAAATACGGCCCGGCTGAAGCTTTTAATATGCGAATGTCACTGGGTATTTCATATGCAATGAAGGGAAGCATTAAATCCTTGTAGCCGGTCGAACATACACATAGTTATATAAATGGAAATAGAGGGAGTATGAGTTTACATTCGGCCGGAGCGATAATCAGATAGTCCTTCATACTACGGGCGATGGAACAAAATAAAAGCCCTGGGTTTTAATTTTTATTTTAAAATAAGAAATATTCTATGTATCACCTGGTGTAGGTACAGAAACTTATTATTTCACTTAGCCCCGGACACAAAATTTGCGTGAAGGACGCAAAGTCAACCAACCTTGATCTGTGAATCTGAACGTCAATGAATTTCCAAAGATATTCTCATAGCCAAGATATTATTAACTTGAACGGTGGGGCGTGCGATGTTGTTCCAACTGTTCATGAAAATTGAGAATTTAATAAAATGTGGCATAGTCTTCTTAGCAAGCGCTTTTAATGGTATATTAATTTAAAATTCTATATTTAGTAGAACACTGGATATTAAAATATTCATATTTTAGGTCCCAAAGGCTGCAATATAGGCTGTTGAAAAACTTGGAAAACTTTTAATTAAAAAACTCTACGTAGTCGTGAAAAAAGCAACGTCGCTGATGCTGAAAACGAAAGTAGACGAAATGCGAAAGTTCTAAACGATTTGCATAGTTGGATGAAGCCTATTTGTAAACTTTTTGAAACTGATTTCAATTGGGACAGTTTAGAACTATCCAACAGGTTCGATTGATAATCGATAGATGTTGATCATAATACTCTATTTCGAACGAAAATATTTACAATAGTTGCGTATATATCTAGGACATAAATTAGCATGGACAGTTTTTGAACTGAAGCTGATGTAAAAGATAGTGCAACCTGGATAATTATCTGTATATCGAGGTGAATATAAGAAACCATATTACTATATTTTCAAATGATCTCTACTAACGTGTCAGAGAAAATAAGGAATTTCATTTAAGAAACGTGGCTCTATAATTGAGCTGTATACTTTTTAAGTGAATGACACAATCAGTATTAACTGCGATTCGTACCCAGTGTTTACCGATTATTCTTTCACTGTCAGTGTATTTTTATGTAACCTATGTATATGGTAATTATTTACATTAATTATTCACGTCCAGAGAACATGGTCAACAATACCACATTCCGTGATAAATAAATACAGTAAACCCTCATCGTGTTACAGTCGTTTAAAAATACACCCACATTTAGGCACAAGCATTCACGAATGAGTACCCCTGTTTTCATGGAAACCAATTTCCTTATGATTGATTTTTTGATCTTTTCAATTATTCCATCATGTTTATTCTTATTTCCAACTCCAAAATCAACAAGTGCAGAATATGATATACAAATATAAAAAAGCTTGCTTTTGGCAAATAAATTATAATTATAACGGTGTCTGTTGAAGTAGAAATTTTGGATCTGAAAAAATTCTCTTTCAAAAGTACTCATCAACTATCCCTGCAGTATTTAATATTGTGATGTATATTTCCTTGGGAACGAGAAGTGATTCAACTTTATTAGGGATAAAGCCGGATTAATAATTTTTTTTTTTATATTCCGACTACCACGAAGGTCTAAGGCCTAAACACTCATGGGGTACCATGGGCCTATAGGGGGATACAGGGGAAATGGGGAACGCCACACGGTCTCTGGCGAAGGAACGAAAAATTTCTCTTGGTACGCGATTCGAACCCGCACAGCGCACGGCAACTGATCAGGAGACCGAAGAGTCTACTACTGCGGCCACGACTGCTGCCTGGTTTATCTGCTTGTGAGCTCTATGACGTTTTTGTGTTGTAGTTCTTACATTTTCAGAGATTTTTAAGGTCAAAAACGCATTCCTTAAAAGAAAGGGTATTTTTGGTCTCACAATATTCAAATTTGTAGCAGTGGTCCATGTCTTATAGCACGTTTAACAAATTTTTTATTTCAATTTCATATCCTTTAAATGTGTAAATTTGAAAACATTTTGGCTATTCTACCGTACATGCTTTATCAAAAGTTGTCCAAGATTTTGGATTCCCTGTATATCCTACGGTAGACCTGTTACGCCTGACATTTCAAAATGTTTATAAAATCATTTGTTTGTTTAATTTTGAGCTAATCATTTTCTTGTGCCTTAAATTCGCTTGTGAGAAATACATTTCGCAGAATATGTTCTAATCAAAAATTGTGTAGAATAATATGTCATCATCAGAACTTGGGAATGTAATAGAAACATTCGGTAAGTTGAAATTTTCGATATTCAGCCTAATTTGACATCAGTTTGACGTTTGTTTGTACGATTGCTGCCAAAAAGGTAGCAGTTCAATGGTAAGTCTGAAAAAATGTATCATTTTTAAGGATTAAATACACAATCAACTACGGAGTAGAGGTAAGGTGTCTCATGTTTCAGGAGCTGCTAACATTTTGATCGATCTCGTGGATGGGCACACATTGTCATCTAGCATTACTCCGTCAGATATGGTAAGCGACCATAGTACTTGAATACTTCTAGCAACTTTTGTGTTTAGAGTATCGTTCATGAAATAATTATAAATTATTATGAAATGTACTTCGTCAAATTTTCAACGCGTCATCAGTGCATGTTGCATAGCCACAAGAGGGTAAGTCATGACTTGAGATCTGTAGGTAGTGTTCGTAGTATGTTTCTACATTGCCGATGCAGAACCTATACAGTGGCGAACTAATAATGTACTTCGATAGACGTTATACTCTGAATAAAGTTTCCCAGCTTTCATTCATTTTCAACCGAGACCAAGCCTATACAATGCTTTTGGGATACCGTCTCAACATTAAGCTTCCTGTTTGTTCGATTCTGATAATAGATGGCACTTTGTACTGCCTTATTTCAATATACCTTACATCAATGTCCTACATGAGTCCAAGCCTAGACCATGCCGAAGAGTTGCCAAATAGCACGAAACAGCTGTTCATGGTTGGCTGCCTGTGGTCGAATGAATGAGAGCTACATTACTAGTTTGATCAATGGCAAGTAGACCATATCTACTATAGTACCAGAACCAGCGGCACCTTGCGGCCACATTGTTGATTCAGGTGACAATGCGAGCTGGCATACAGTTCCAACTGACAGCTTGCTGTTTTCATTTTCGCAGTGGTCGATTCTCTTGATATATGGCGCTCATTAAGCTTCAGTTTAAGTATCAAGACATAAATATACAGGGTGTTTCAGTTTATTGTTGCATAACTTTAAGATTCAATAGAACTTTCAAAATTAATGCATAAAGTATATATAAACATGGGTCCAAAAATGCGTGGCTTCCGAAATACAGGGTGTTTAAATTTGCTTTTTAAAATAGTTTTTTTTAAATATTTCGAACAATATTTGATGTATAACAGTGACAATTGGTATACAAGGGCTTTTTGGTACGACAAAACGAACCATGGGCATAGTTTTACTGTAGCCGCTAGAGGGCGCTCTCTACTGTACCTGTAGTGTATTAAAATGACCGAAAAAATTTTCTTAATGCAATTTTTTGCTTTTTGAATAAAAAACTGATTCTTCGCACATTTCTGCATAAAAAAGCTCTCTTGTGAGATTTCGTTATAGTTAGCCGTTTTTGACATATTTCGATTTTTAAGGTTCGATGCATTTTTAATTATTTATGGGAAAATAATATTTTTTTTACATTTTCGATTTGGGCATTACAAGTAATCAAGATGATCGTTTAGATTGTGTTTTTAAACACAACAATAATTCCTAACTCCAAATAAACACAAAAAAAACGAATTTTAATTTGTTTAATTTTCCAATATTATTTTTAACAAATTAAATTAATTATTTACAACTAAAATGCTATTGGATAGTTAGGACAAACATACAAAATCTAAAGTACTTGCTCGAAATGTAAACCCAATTGTTCAATACACAATTCACATCTACGAATGATCGAACGTGGTATAGCATTATTCAAATAATGCCTTATTCCATCACATGCATTCCTGATTCTGTCTATTAGCATATCTCTTGTGGTTACGGGAGTCTGGTACACTTTTTCTTTTAAACATCCCCACACAAAGAAATCTAATGGATTTAGGTCAGGGGATCGTGGAGGCCAGGCGACTGGTCCTCCACGGCCGATCCATCTTTCTAGATGATTTTCGTCCAGCCAGCTTCTAACTATTCTCGAATAATGAGCTGGACAACCATCAAGCTGGAACCAGGCCAATCTTCTTAAATCTAACATAACATCATCCCACATATTTGCATGTTCAGCCTTTAAAAATTCCAAGAAGGTCGCAGCATTTAACCTTGCAGGCAAAAGGTAGGGTCCAAATAGTCGATTACGGTAGATACCAATCCACACGTTCACACTAAATTCATGCTGAAAATTTCTTTCCCGAACTGCATGCGGATTTTCATGCGACCAAATATGTTGATTATGAAAATTTACCACTCCACGTCTAGTGAAGCATGACTCATCGGACCATAAAACGTTACGTAAAAACTTCCTATTATTATCAGTTCTATCAAGAATCCACTGACAAAATGTGATTCTTCGTTCTCCGTCCCCTGGCCGTACTCCTTGCACAGGTTGCAAATGGTAAGGACGTCTATGGTCATTTTTAAGAACACGGTGAACATGGCTTGCTGAAATTCCCAAGGCACCAGAAACTCTCCTAACACTTGTGGTCGGATCTCTATCAAACTCATGCAGAAACATACCGATAAATCTGCGCTGACGAACATTTATGTTTTGATCCCTTTGGAGATTTCCATTTTCAATTATTTGGCGATGCACTCTTACAAATACTGAGCGAGTTGGATGTCGTCTGTTCGGAAATCTTCGTGCTTCTGCTGCGTTTCCATTTACAAAGCCATACACAAAATGAATATCCGCTAACTCTTGATTGGAGAATAAAAATAGCATTTTTATAAAACTTACAAAAAAAAACAAGTAAAAGAAACTAAATTTCGTGCATTCACAATTGCAAAAAAACGTTTCAGGTTTCAACAGAGAACAAAACTAACTGTCAACTAATTGTCGTTTAACCTCATTCTGCTTTCAATTTCAAAAATATTTGCAGGCACAGCCTACTTCTAAAAATTAATGTTATTTTATCATATATAATTAAAAATGCATCGAACCTTAAAAATCGAAATATCTTAAAAACGGCTAACTATAACGAAAATTCACAAGAGAGCTTTTTTATGTTGATAAGTGCGAAGAATCAGTTTTTTTATTCAAAAAGCAAAAAATTGCACTAAGTAAAATTTTTCGGTCATTTTAATACACTACAGGTACAGTAGAGAGCGCCCTCTAGCGGCTACAGTAAAGCTATGCACATGGTTCGTTTTGTCGTACCAAAAAACCCTTGTATATATATAATTTTCACTGTTATACATCAAATATTGTTCGAAATATTTAAAAAAAACTATTTTCGAAAGTAAATTTAAACACCCTGTATTTCGGAAGCCACGCATTTTTCGACCCATGTTTATATAGACTTTATGCATTAATTTTAAAAGTTCTATCGAATCAAGTTATGTAACAATAAACTGAAACACCCTGTATAGCATACGCGTACCAAAAATAAGAGATTAGTCGTTAAGTTAGGATAGTATTTTTCGTATTTCCATGCTATCATGGAGTAAGTTCTATAAAGACATTTTTTTTCACTCCTTTAGTCTACGCAAGATTCAAGCCCCGAGGCCCCTGTCGCTCCAGCTGCCATCACCAATATCTCTCTACCGGATCAGGATCTTGTTTGTTCAGTGAAACAACCTCTGTCACCAAAAACTCCATCTTCCAAAAGTTCCCCAAGGTAAGTCTACACTCCAAGTTGTGCAAACAAGATCAAGCATCACGGAGGATGTAAAGAGCCACATTGGCGAGCCATTACTCTTTCGGAAACGCACATTCTTTCTGTTGCGACAGATCCGCCATAACACTTTCCTAATAATCTATGATCCGGCCGCTTGAATCTGCAGATGTGAATAGAATACAGCAGGGTTGCGTTTGCCAGGCAAACCCTTATAAAACCCAAATTCGAGAGCAATCGAAACATATTTTACAAACATATTGGATCTGCCATTCTGATCTTTGACAAATGGATATCGTATTCATTATCAGCGACCTTGACAGCATGTAAATGAAGTTTTTTGCTGAAATTACTGGATCGTTCTAGTTTTGACCATCTTGATTTACTTCTGAACCACTGTGCGACGTGCGACGGGGCACGACACGTGTCTATCATCAATATTAGCAAATCACCGCATATTTACGCGTAGCATCAAGCCAATAGAAGATAGAAAATAATATGTTTTACTGTCTAATAATATAATCGTTCTTAATGGCAAAGCATCTCAAAACTGAACTATAAAATAATTACATATGTAATTATTACATATGTAATTAATGTTAAGTAAGCTAATTGTAGAACTAACTATTGTATAAAATCACTTACATATTGGAAAGTTTTTTATCTTCACGGCGGAATATCTTTAAATTGTTAATTATTTTAATACTACCAATTTAAAATCTCGTTTTCGTCTAACATCGTAACTCATATTATAATGTTTCAAATATAGATTTACTTTCAAAGATAAGAGTTATTTTAATATTTTGAAATTGCTTTTAGTTATATCTTTAATGGTTCGTTTTTGAAGAATATGCACTGTTTTGAACAATGTAGAACCGTTATAGTATAATGTATGATGCCAAGCTAGGCATTATCCATTTCTATGTTTCGGCATAGTTTATCGTCAAATGTAACAAAGTTTATTGAACAAAGAGAAATTACTGTCTGCCATACGCGTTTGAAGATGCTAATTGTGATGATCTCAAGAAGCCTTAAAAGATTTGCAAGGACCTGTAATAGACTTGTTGAGAACATATGCAACTTTTTCCAAAAAGAAAAGCACACGAGACATACCTCTGTCATGATAGAGGCTCAATCAAAAAACTCGATGTATCTGTTGATACCAACGGATATCACGAAAAATAAGAAAAGTAATAGAAATCAAGCTGATGTAACATGAGAACGATTTTTCCCAATAGTGATACATCTATCGCAATTTCAATAAGTGGAGCAACACTGGACTTTACTCTCGCTTATTACGTAAATTGCCTTCATTATTTTGTGGCCAAAAGTACTCAATAGTTCTATTACACTGATAAATACAGGATTAGTGACATGACAATTTTTGGGTGTATCTCATGTATTTTGAGACCCTTAAATCTAAAAACAGAATCTTTCTATCACCCACATATATTCGGTAGCATCTACTTTTATGAATTATAATACGTAACATCTCATATTGCTGCATTTCTCGGCGCTTATACGATGACGCACATGTCATTGTCACTTCATATTGACTTGCCTTATTGCACTGAATCCGCGTATACCTCGAGAAAACTGTTGAAATATTTTATTACTCTCTACTGCAACTATTGTTGGGGTGCAGCTCCGTTGATATTCTTGGAGGATAACAGATTTTCCAGTGGAAAACATTTTTTCGGCCAATACAGCGAAGAATTTTGACAAAAGATTTGACATCAATCATCTAGACTAGAAGAAAGTGATACGACCATACTGGGTACTCCATGAATAAGAAAAAAAAAGAAAACTGCTGAGATTGCTTCAGCTACGTCTGAGAGTGCTAAAATGGTGGTAACCAAACCAAGTGATGCACCAACGGAAACACCTAAAAACAGTAAGTGCTTTAGAACAACAAATGAGGAGCTAAAACAGGAAATAAAAATATTATATGAAAAAGTTAATTCATACAGTCAGTTATTAATAGAAAAAGATACATTGATTGAGCAACTTGTGAACGAGAACACTAGATTTCAAAATCAGCTGAATTTATTGTCGACAAATATTACTGAAAAAGAAACTGTAGTTGACGCGCTCAAGAAACTGAAAACTAGGATTGACATAATTGAAAAATCAAGTATGACACGCACTTCGTATTCGCAAATTGTAAAAAAGACTATGCTACAAAAAGCAAGGAAATCCCATTGAAAAGCATAGTGATTATACCAAGCCAGCAACAAACAAGCCTCAAGACGCGTAAAGATCTAGACAAAAACTTAAGCTTGTCTAAACTTCAAATCAAAATTGACGACGTGAAGAATTTTAGAAACGGTGGTGTGGAAATTAAGGTCCACGAAAGTAATCATGCCCAGTTAAAGGAAGAAATTCAGAAAAAATTGTCAGCATCGTACCAGGTACGAACCGAAAATGTTTAGACCTAAAATCAAAATCGTCGGCTACCATACAGATGAACGAATTACCGAAGAAGAGATAGTAGAAGACATCACAAGATAGAACCATTTCATAGAAAAAGAAGATATTAAGATAAATTTTATTAAGTATATTGCACAAAAAAAAATTATATTATTTACGCAGAGGTCACAGGTAATTTATTTAAACAGATTTTTGAAGATTATAATGGAAAAATTCTATTAGGATTTCAAAATGTATCTGTATACAAAAATAATGAAGTGTCTCAGTGCACAAATTGTTTCCGATTTAATCATTCTGGAAAAAAATGCCAAAATCCTAAAGTCTGTGCTCAGTGTGGAGAAAACCATGACACTTCCTTTTGTAAGCAGGCACATTCGAAATGTTGCAACTGTTTGTATTCAAATCACCAGTATAAAAAATCTTACAGTACCGATCATCTTCCGACAGACAAAAATTGCCCAGTGTATGAATTCTTTCAAGAAAGACATCTCTCAGGAATTTTATTTTGATCATTTTAGAATTATCTAGAATACTCAAAATCTTTTCTAAATTATGTACGATTCAAATACTGGTAGTAAAACGCACTTGAATGTACGTTCCCTCATGTCTAGTTTTGATGCTATTGTAAATTTAATAGCATTAGAAAATTTTGATGTATTCGCTGTTACAGAGACGTGGCTAAATGAAAATATTACTGACGATGTGGTTAATATTAGCAACTATTGTTTCTTGCGTTGTGATAGAGAATCTCGTGGTGGTAGAGTTGGAATCTTTGTTAAATCAAATTTACATGCTGAAAAGGTAGATATTCATACAAATTTTTGGTGATTTTTTCGAAAGCATTTGGGTTAAATTGGTTGCGGGTAAGTGTGAACTGTTAGTAGGTGTTTTGTACCGACCACCCTCTAAAAACATACAACAATGTGCAGATTTATTAAATGGTTTCCTACCCAGCCTCTCGTGATATTGGGAGATCTGAATATGAATTTTTTAATAACAATATATTCTCACTGAGTTTTGAGCTGATGGGGTTCACACAAATCGTAACGGAAGCCACCCATGTCACAGATAGTAGGTACTGCAACATTAGTCGATCCAATATTTTTAAATAATCCTCAAATATGCAGCTATTCTTGCGTCATGGACACGAATGGTATTTCGGACCACAAACTCGTATTTTTTCATTTTGACATTCCATCTTATAAAAGAAAACAAAAATTTATCACAATCAGGGATTTCAAAGATTTCAGTGAGGATGATTTTCTTATCGATCTTTCTACAGCGGGCATAGATGAATTATTTACGAAATCTAATATTGATGAGAAGGTAATGCACATTACAAGCGCTATCGTGGAAACCTATAATAAACATGCACCTTTTAAAACTGTAAGAGTTAATGAGCCACCATCACCTTGGTTAACAAATGAACTGCGTACTGTTCTTGATGAAAAGAATACTGCACAAGCTCTATATAAAACTAATAAGGCCGTGGACGCCTATAATAACTTCAAATCGCTTAGAAACCGTGCTCTTAACATGATCAGGAGGGACAACAAGACATACATCGAAAATTTGGCAAATGAAAATGATTCAAAAAAATTGTGGAAGTCTCTCAAACAACTTGATATCAATTTTCGTAGTAAACCAACCCTTCCGGCAAGTTTTAATGACCCTACCAAAATTAATGATTATTTTATGTCTGTTTATAGCTATAAACCTGTTGATTCACTAGTTTGCGAAAACTATTTCAAAAATAAATTAAGCTCTGAATATATTTTTTCATTGAATAAGATTAGTTCAAATGACGTATTACAGGCAATACGGAGCCTAAAATCTGATGCGAAGGTAATTGATGGTATATCCCTCTCAATGATCCAGCTTTGCCTGCCAGTTATTCTCCATCACATCGTCCACATCTTTAACGACTGTTTGGAAAAAGGCTACTTTCCAAACACATGGAAACAAGCTCTAATTATTCCAATTCCTAAAAAAATGAAACCCACTGAGTATAATGATCTCAGACCCACCAGTTTATTACCAATTTTATCCAAAATTTTAGAAAAAATTATAAAGTTCCAATTGACCACTTACCTAGAAAAATTCTTTATACTTCCCAACACTCAATCCGGTTTTAGAAAAAATTATAGTACAACACCTGCCCTACTTAATCTGCAAGACAATATTTTAAGTGCCTTAGATAAGAAAATGGCACTAGCCTTAATCTCTATAGACTATTCGAAAGCCTTTGACAGCATCAATCATAAATTATTACTTGCTAAATTAAATTACATAGGTCTTGACAGTGTATCCCTTTCATTTTTCGACAGTTACCTTCATCAAAGAACTCAGTGTGTTTTTCTCAATCAAGAAATGTCTCAAGTGACAATAATTCCCTCAGGCGTACCTCAGGGCTCTGTATTGGGGCCGCTTCTGTTCCTCATATATACGTTCGACTTAAGCAAAAGTATTGATAATTCTCATGTCCAGTCATTTGCAGACGATACGCAATTGCTCCATTATTTTAACCCAGATAATGTCAATAATACTACTAAAATTTTACAAAACGATGTTAATAAATTAATTAAATACTCTTTAGATCACAATCTACTTATTAATCCACAAAAATCTAAAATGTTATTATTTTGCGCACAAAGAAAAACATACAATGTAACACAGCTCTTGATTCAGATAAATAACCAAATTTTGCAATTTTCTGATTCTGCAAAAATTCTTGGTGTTGTTTTTGATACAAAATTAAGGTTTATTGAACATGTTAAAAGTCTATCTCAGAAAATCTACCTACGGCTGCGCACTCTTATAGCAAACAGGTATTTAATAAATTTTAAGTTGCGTAAAAAACTATGTGAAGCATTGGTCATATCTATACTAAATTATTGTAATATCGTATACTATACTTGTTTAGACAATTTCACTAAAAACGTTATTCAAGTTATTCAAAACAACTGTATACGATTCATTTTTGGCTTACGTAAATTTGATCATGTATCAGCGAAATATCCCGTTCTAAACTGGTTAAAAATTAATGACATGGTCAAGTATCACTATTCAGTTTTTGTTCACAAATTGCTGCTCACGTTTAAACCTTATTACTTGAAGGAAAAAATTTCATTTAATAATGATGTTCACTGTAGAAATAATATTAGAATACCCCTGCATACGTCTACACTTTTTAAACGCAGTTTTTCTTACAATGTTGCTATTATTTATAATGACCTTCCTAAAGTATATAATTTTCATTACCTGTCTTTTGACAAAAAGTTAAAACATTATTACTCAACCCTCCAAACATATAATTTACGTAATCATTCATTTCTTTTTTATTCCATCTTTAATTCAGATTAATAATTTTTTGGTGCATTTGGGTTTGGAAAGTATGCCCTTTTCTCTTTTTTTAAATTTTACTTTCGATGTAATGAACCAAATCTGTTTGTGGATAGTGTATTCTTTTGAACATCTGCTAAAGACTATATAGTTAAGTGTAAGAGTAGCAGCATGCTAAACTTCGCCATATAAGTCTGACATTTGGCTATATACTATATACTACAATGTAATTGTGGATAAATAAAGACGTCTATTATCATTATTATTATTATCATTATTATTATTATTATCATTATTATTATTTTATAATGTTAAGACCTGTCTATTCCTGTTTATTATATGCGAGCTCTATGTTTAGAGAGCATATTACGTTTATTAGTAGAATAATAGCAGCCGAGTCAGTTACGGTACTGAGATGTTCTGAGTGCTGTTAATTTTTGTTAAAACGGTGTGTTATTTTCAGATTATTATCATGGAGACTAGCTTTATGGATAATACCTAGAAATTGTGTAAATAGTGTGAACAGTTTTTGTTTTGTGTACGGAGAGCTATCTTTTAAATCCCAAAAACGTACTTTTACTCCCCTTGTGTTGAAAGCATACGAACTTTATTTTGGAATTAAAGTTGGCGACCAGGATGAACTATGGGTCCCTCATATATGTTCTAAGACTTCTGTAACGTTGTTAACAGGTTAGTTAAGAGGCGACAATCGTAAAATGCCCTTTGCGGTACCAATGGTTTGGAGAGAACCGAGAGACCATACTATTGATTGCTATTTTTGCCTCACAAATACTAAAGATATTGGACCAAAATCGAAATATACTGTAAAGTATTTTAATTTACCATCAGCTTTGCGGCTCGTTAAGCATAGTGATGAACTTTCTATCCCAGTTCCACCAGAATCTTGGTCGTTGGATGAAAAAGTAGAATCCACCGATTCTGAAAGTGATGGTACCGAAAGCGTAAAAATTGCCGATCCTTCGGTTGACCTGCCAGGATATTCAACAGCACCGCATTGGATCACACAGGGCGAACTTAATGACTTAGTTCGGGAATTAAATCTGTCAAAATCCCAGTCAGAACTTTTAGTGTCAAGATTAAAAGGATGGAATCTTCTCCACGGTGATGTTGACATTACTTTTTACCGAAAACGACAACAAGACCTCACACACTGTTTCCGTCAAGAAAGTGAGTTGATATATTGCTCCGATGTCAAAAATTTGTTTGACACGTTAGGACAGAATCATGATCCAAATGATTGGCGACTGCTCATTGATTCCTCTAAGCTTAGTTTAAAAGCGGTATTAAATATCCATCTGTACCTATAGCGCACGCAGTTCATATGAAGATATCGTATGAAAATATGCGAGTTCTTTTAGAGCATATCTGTTATAATGAATATGGATGGGCCATATGTGCAAATTTAAAGGTAATAGCCCTTCTTCTTGGAATGCAACTGAGATATACCAAATATTTTTTTCTTTGTGAATGGGACAGTCGTGCGCGAGATCGTCAACTCCGGGCCTCAAAAGCATTGCTCATGAACCACTAGTTGATCCCAAAAACGTATTGCTTCCACCTTTGCATATTAAGTTGAGACTGATGAAAAATTTTGTGAAATCTATGGATTGAAATGGAAGAGGGTTTCTGCATTTAAAACAAACATTTCCGAGAGGCAAAAATTAAAGCGGGCATATTTGTGGGTCCACAAATACGGAAAATCATGAAGGATGATGTATTTGACAGTGTTCTAAATGAAACTGAATTACGAGCATGGAATGCTTTTAAATCAGTTACTGCAAATTTTTTAGGCAATGTGAAGGCGGACAATTATAAAGATATTGTGAGTGAACTAATTAATGCTTATAAGGGAATGGGATGTAACATGTCTCTAAAAATTCACTTTTTGGATTCTGATCTCGATTTTTTTCCGGAAAATTTAGGTGCGGTAAGTAATGATCCTTATATTTTACGAGTATAAGCAGCATACTAAAATGCATAATAAACTGCCTTATTGCAAGAAAACCGTGGGTGACAGAAAAAATCGAATGCTATTTCCGGCTTTTTGGGTACGTTTTACATAATAACCACCTTGTTTTGTCACAAAAAATTATTTTAATTTTATTCCCCAGTGTTATCAGAAGACTGTGTTAAGAATAAATTTATACGTACAAACTTGTTCACGTAGTACTACTATCAGTATTTATTCTCACAGGCAAAAAATGACATCTCGCTCGCCAGTATTACGTGGCAAGTCCGCCTCTCAACGTACCCCCTCCTCCAGTATCCCATTGCCTGTAAAGTTCACTGCAGAAAAGGCCAGCGTCCAGAGTGTGGCCAAGAGTACTGCCAGCTCAAAGTTGAGCCGACCAAGCACTGTGGTCGTCAGACACCAGATCACTCCCACGGGTACAAGCAGTAAGGTAAGTCTTAATAAAATAGCTATTGTATTCATATATAAAGAAAAGCTAAGGCGGAAGTGATTGACAACATCTTAGCTGCCAACTCCACCATCGATGTTCCTCCAACGCCCGAGTGCCGTTGATTCCAATGGTTCGCTACACTATGCGGGAAGTAACCTTCTGACATACGACCATTTCGACATCAACAAACATGGTGCTATTGTACAAAAGAGATGTTCAGCGCAGCTTGCTCCAGTTCTTTCGCGTCTTTTTCAGATATCTTACGAATCCGGCACTTCGCCAAAAAAGTTGCTAATGCCCAGTCCATCCCAAAAAAAGCATCTAAGACCGACCCATACAACTACAGGCCTATCGCTCTGCTTTCTGTTATACGCAAGGAGATGGAGAGGTACATAAATCAGGAGGTTCTGGAGTACCTTGAACAGTACGGCTTGATTAGCGACAGGCAGTATGATTTCTGGCACCAACAATCCATGGGGCACCTCATAGCTTACGTCTCGCAACTGTGGGGTAAACTCATCCAGTTCCATCAATTGTGGCATGCTGTCCTCTTATGCAAACTTCCATCGTATGGCCTCCCAGAGAAGCTTTGTAGATGGATGGCCTACTTCCTCTCTGACCGCAAAATATCAGTCGTGATTGACGGGTGCTCCTCTTCATCCCATAACTAGGAGGTTCCCCAGGGATCGGTCTTGGCTCCGACATTGTTTCTCTCAAATATCAACATCCTCCTTACATGTTCGGTCAATCCGATCGACAGCTTTGCAGATGAGAGCATTCTGCGGGCAGAAATTAGGAGTCGCAAGCCGATCTCAGCCGGTGAGCTGGGGAAAAAAAGACTATCAGCGACATCCTCACTGACGAGACACCTGGAGGTTATCACTGCTGGGAGACGCAACAATATGGTGCAGTTTAATGCTTCCAAGACAATATTGTACCTTGACTAACAAAAAGAGGTCTAGCGATCATCCGGTTTCCATGGATGGCCGAGTTCTTCCAAAGATCCGTTTATTTTGGCTAGTGGCAGTCCAGATCACCGAGAACTTGATCTGACACGAACTTTTCTCCACATGATCCTCTCACTCTTGGCCTCGACTGCTGCCCACGCGTTTGGGTTACTGCCGTCCCGAATACATTATCCATGCTAGCACAAACGGTCTAGCTCTCTTCTGCCGCTACACCAACGGACTTTGCTCCTCAGAGCTCTCCTCATAACAGCCGAGGTACCCTGTTATTTAGGCATCTGCCTGAGCAGCTGCTTCGGTATAAAGAAGAGCGTAAAGTATTACTTGGCGCTCGTGAAAGACGTTTGGGAGCGACACAGTTCTTTTGCGCTCAAATTACAGCAATTCCTTTAAATGCGGTAACAATATGCGGCAGAGTACGTCCAACTTCAACTTTCAGAACTATAGTTAAGTAGTCTTCCCAAAGCTTCATAATAAAAGTTTTATTGGACTAGAATTTCTTATTTCCTGATAGCATACCTTGGAGGTGCAATTCATCAACAAAAAGAAACGATTGGCACAACTAAAGAAAGACTTACTCGAAAAACAAAAACCTGTGCTGGATCTCTACCAGAATTTGGTACAGATCAAGAAAAAGCTGGAGGAACTGGGAAAACATGTTCAACTGGAGCAAGTCAAGTTGATGAATTACGATGGCGATGCTCCAAAGCATCCGGAGAGTGATGGAGGTAACAATACAAAAGCAAACGATTTGACCTCATAGCATTTTTAGCTTCAGATTTATTTTCTGGGTAATTTTAGTGACCACAAAAAAAATCGAGCTCGATGACTGTAAATAATAGACCAGTTGCTCTTTCTATGACTAGAAGAAAATAAATATCGTCCAACGCGCGTTGAGGCGTCGGAAAACATCTTTGTGTAAATGTTCTCTGAAGATTTTCGTAGATCAGAAGCGATAAAAATCGTCAAAAATGATGACTTTAATTGATTTGCATGTGAAGCCTCTTACTCTACAAAAACTGTGTAAAATGATTTACTCCGGTAAAAATGCGGGGATCTAGTCTTCTTTCGTGACTTTTTTAGATACACCAGACCCGTTTATTGGGAAAGATCCACCAATTACCGGCACGGGTATCACGTATCTTCAAAAGTGACATTATGTTAACTTAGCACTTTGGCTCTGATGTGATGTAAAATCTGCTTCTGAGATGACATTACTGGAGGTTTAAGCTGTAAGTTGTATGTTGATGTTGATGATAATAACATTGGCTCTTGTCTCAAATACACTTAATTGAGATTCAAAGCTAGAAATTAGTTGCGCATCCACTTTTTCTTATCCATTCTGGAAATTACATATACAAATTTGCTGAATTTCAAAAATGAGAAAGATAAGAAATAATTATATTCACTGCACACTCTCGAATTACAAGCCATATACATGCTAACAGTAATTACACACAACGCGGGTGCGGTGATGATTTACCGTAATTCTCCTTAGTTTTTCGTAATGTATGACTTTGAACATAACCTCTCTTCGGAAAGCACAACATAAAAATAACCCGTCGGGCACAGCCAATAGATATACTTCATTGGCAGCATATTCAGTAAATCTCACACAGCAAATATCACTGATTTTATATACATGCGGACCAATACACATAATCATCCAGATGCGATCTTGCTATTCAACCAACTTTCTTCTCAGAGATAAAAACTAGACACGGATCGCTCAGCCTCACAAAACTATGCAACCAATAATGCGTGTATCTTAGTTGAGCGATTCCTCCATAGATGGACGTTCCTAGTGGGCAAACGTGGAATGACTGTTTGCGCCCTAAAGACTACCTAGTTTGCAAGATGGCATCTTATAGATTTTTTCTGACGTTTTATAGGTTTTTTACATGATATCCATGCCGATTCTTCACTGCAATAAGCCTGTTCTTGCAAATAAATGATTTCTGACGGTTGAGGAGAATTGTAGCCAGTTAACTCATTAAGTTAGACGCACGGCTAGTTGTCACTTTTTTAAGTAGGTCTTAAATAGTTAATATTTTAACTTTAAAAATATAGTTTTCTTAGGCATGTTTTGCCCTTAGTTTGACGTCATACCACTTGTAAGCAGCATCTGACAACAATAGCAACCTCTCAAACTTTTAAACATACAGGGTGTCCCAGAAATGGACGTCAAGCCGGAAACGGGAGGTAGGCAAAACCATAACATCGGGCTTTCCAATAGGGACTTGACAATTTTGAACTTTCACTGTGCACGCACCTTTAAATGAATTACTGAACTGTCAATGTCAAAGCATTCAGTTAAGAAAACATTTTAATCATGGTGAAGTACACGAACGAACAATGCTTACAAATAATTAAAAATTACTACCGAAATTCCGAGTCGGTGACTGCAACTTTAAGAGGATTAACGCCAATGTTTGATCGTAATTCTCATCCCAGTAGACAAGCAATTCATGTCCCCATGCCACTGAGACAACGGTTTGGTCGAAACAAATAGAATATGAATTAGTGGTCAGGTGAAAACCCTCATATGCTTCAAGAAACACCACTTCATCCACAAAAAATAACTGTATGGTGGTTTTTTTTTTCGTTGATGAAAATGACCGTCACGTTACAGTCAACGGAGATCGCTATACAGACATGTTACAACGTTATTTTTTTGGTGAATTGGATGGGCTAGACATTAATGATATGTGGCTTCAACAAGACGGTGCCACAAGCCACACAGCGGGTGAAACAGTCGACATATTGCAATCAAAATTCGGTGAACGTGATATACCGAGAAATGGTTTTGTCGAATGGCCGCCTAGATCGTGTGATTAAACACCTCTAGACTTTTTTTGTGGCGCTACATTAAATCATTGGTCTATGCCAACAAGCCGGCGTCGTTAGAGGTGTTCAGAGCCAATATTGAACGAGAGATAGCGGCCGTTTCTGTCAAAATGTGTGGCCGAGTCATTGAAAATTGGGTTCAAAGAATCGATCGCTGCGAACGTGCCCGTGGTGGACATATGAACGAGGTCGAATTCCATACATAAATGTTTTGAGTATACTTCAATCCAATAATAAAATTTCCGAGATATCTCAAATGGTTTGCGTTTTATTTGAAAAGAAAGTTGTCAAGTCTTTAATGGAAAACCCTATAGTCATCAGAATATAAAAAATGCACATTCACAAAAGCTCGGTGATCGGGATGACGATCAGCATTTGGGTACCTCTCGCGATGAAGCCTAGCTGCAGCACTAGCATTGCATCTACATTCTCCAAAAATGAGGTGCATGTTAGCGTATTCCTGTACGGTGTACATATACATGGTGGCACTGCACAATTATGAATTAATAAAAATGGTGTTACTATCTATCTTGCTGTCACTGCGTAGATTGGCACTGTCCTTCATACTATCTAAGAAAAAATTGAAATTTGTAGTAATAGGAACTAAAAGATCATCACAGTGTAGATTTATCCGATTTTTTTAAACCTATAATTTAAGTACTCGACTCGATTTTTTCTTATATTTTTCTGATAACTATTATGTCTTCGCCTATCCCCCGTTTCCCGCTTAACGTCAACTTCTGGGATACTCTCTATAAATTTATGACTTCTAATAGATTACATGAAAAATACATGATCATCGTTATTGTATCATCCGAGAATGTAAAAACACGTCGATAAAGACCCCAGCAAAGCTGTGGATTAAAGTGCCCAGAAAATAAATATACTGTGTATTGCTTGGAGCATAACTTATGTTCGGTACATATTTTACATTTTACTGGGCAGATTTTATCATCTCGTGTAAGTTGGACGTAACCTACGGCATCATTAGCGTAGGATTCCGTTGTAGACGTGTAAAAACAATACAATAGCAAATAAAATTATTCAACAGTTATAACGTATGAGATTAGTTTTGAATGACTTCGGAAAAGGAAGATTATATAAGTCTTTTACTTATTCTTCCTAGTCATGTCTATCATCATATCAGAGGCACTGTACTTGTATAGAAGTCTTCATATTCGTCAACTCATTGGAGCAAAAATCTGGGTTGAAGGCAAACAATTACGAAGAATGTGTCAATTTTTGGCAAATTTATGTTTTCTGTTTTTACGAATCCAACATCCATGATTGTTTCATTTTCAATAAAACGAGGCCTTTTTTATAAATACTTAAAGAAGTCAACGTTTGTTCACGAGTGACATATGGATGACGTTTCTTTGTCTACAATTTGTATAACACACATCATGGCCGATAGTGTTTTCACCCGTTTCATATTAAAAATAAGAAATATATTTTTTGTTAAAGTAGCCTTTTACACCAAAAATTAATTTATTCTATGAAATTAGATATGAGTCAAGTAGCCTATTGAGTGACAGTTCTTTGACAGATTTTCAAAAAAGTACAGAATAGTGTCAGAGCTACCACTTCCAGGCCCTACTTAACTTTTTTGAAACTTCCTCCGTTGTCACTCTCTTAATAGGTGGTGAAAGCATATCGCCCGAGGTAATAATAGGAATGCAGACCTCGATCGAGGAGATCCCCAGGACGCTGATGGAAATCTGCAAAAACCTTCTGGGTAGGAGGAATGTTATCGTTGAGTTGCTGGAGAGCGTCACCAAGTCTGAAGTAGACGTGGGTAGTTTGACGGAGCAGATTGAGACTCTGAAGCAGGAAGGGCAGCAGCTGCAAAGCCATCTGGACGTGGTGCTCAGCGAACACCACAGCAAGATCAAGGAGATCGTCGCGAATTGGCAGACGTTGTTGAATGATAAGGATCACGTTATCACCAATGCGAAAGTTGGGGATTTGGAGGAAAAATTAAAGTGAGCATCTATGTAGTGTAATCGTACCATAACATTCGCTATATGCTAACCTAAAGGCGCATTAACACGCTTGGCAAACCTCGGCATGATATCAAAAGCGTGCGTGCGACCAAATTATCGGTTTTTGATCACGAACCAAACTAGCTTGCGGTAAGGAATATTGCATCCCAGAATATTTGTAGTTCACTTGTTATTGTAGATTTACTTCACACACGCAAATTTCTTCGAATCACTTTATTGAATTTCACAGATACTTTACAACAACTTGACAATGTATGTGTGGAAGAGTGAATGCATTGTTGATAAATGATGTTGTGATCTGTCCGTATGTCGTGTTCCCTTTTTTACGCGGGCACCCGCCGCCCTTACTAGGTCGACGTATCTCAAAGCTTCTGGAATCCTTAGACGTTGTGTAATCAATGATTTTACTAAATTTGCTCTATGCTATTAGGTCTCAAGAAAATCTGACCGAGGAAGCGCGTCACCAAATAGCAGAATTACAGAAGAAGCTTGACGATAAGAGAAATGGTCATGACAGATACGTAGCTGAGCTTAATAATGTTATTCATGGTCTCAAAGATCACATACAGGTAAATAGTACGGGAAGTATCCCCGCATCTGCTAGGAAAAGTATTCTAGCCATCTATGGTATCTCATCTCTGCAATAGTTGAAGAGGTTAGTGTCTCATAGATGACGCTGTCGCTATACAGGGTGTTTCAGTTTATTGTTGCATAATTTTAAGATTCGATAGAACTTTTAAAGTTAATGCATAACGCCTATATAAACATGGGTCGAAAAATGCGTGGCTTCCGAAATACAGGGTGTTTAAATTTACTTTCTAAAATAGTTTTTTTTAAATATTTCGAACAATATTTGATGTATAACAGTGAAAATTGGTACGGTTTTTTGGTACGACAAAACAAGCCATGGGCATAGTTTTACTGTAGCCGCTAGAGGGCGCTCTCTACTGTACCTGTAGTGTATTAAAATGACCGAAAATTTTTTCTTAGTGCAATTTTTTGCTTTTTGAATAAAAAAACTGATTCTTCGCACTTTTCAACATAAAAAAGCTCTCTTGTGAATTTTCGTCATAGTCAGCCGTTTTTGAGATATTTCGATTTTTAAGGTTCGATGCATTTTTAATTATTTATGATAAAATAACGTTAAAAAGTTGTTGTTGTTGTTGACAGTTAGTTTTGTTGTCTGTTGAAACCTGAAACGTTTTTTTGCAATTGTGAATGCACGAAATTAGTTTCTTTTACCTGTTTTTTTTTGTAAGTTTTATAAAAATGCCATTTTTATTCTCCAATCAAGAGTTAGCGGATATTCATTTTGTGTATAGCTTTGTAAATGGAAACGCAGCAGAAGCAGCCAGAGAATACGCACGAAGATTTCCAAACAGACGACATCCAACTCCCTCAGTATTTGTAAGAGTGCATCGCCAAATATTTGAAAATGGTTTTTGAAATCTCCAAAGGGATCAAAACATAAATGTTCGTCAGCGCAGATTTACCCGTATGATTCTGCGTGAGTTTGATAGAGATCCGACCACAAGTATTAGGAGAGTTTCTGGTGCGTTGGGAATTTCAGCAAGTCATGTTCACCGTGTTCATAGAAATGACCATAGACCTCCTTACCATTTGCAACCTGTGCAAGGACTACAGCCAGGGGACGAAGAACGAAGAATCACATTTTGTCAGTGGATTCTTGATAGAACTGATAATAATAGGGAGTTTTTAAGTAACGTTTTATGGACCGATGAGTCATGCTTCACTAGACGTGGAGTGGTAAATTTTCATAATCAACATATTTGGTCGCATGAAAATCCGCATGCAGTTCGGGAAGGAAATTTTCAGCATGAATTTAGTGTGAACGTGTGGACTGGTATCTTCCGTAATCGACATTTGGACCCTACCTTTTGCCTGCAAGGTTGAATACTGCGACCTTCTTGGAATTTTTAAAGGCTGAACATGCAAATATGTGGGATGATGTTATGTTAGATTTAAGAAGATTGGCCTGGTTACAGCTTGATGGTTGTCCAGCTCATTATTCGAGAATAGTTAGAAACTGGCTGGACGAAAATCATCTAGAAAGATGGATCGGCCGTGGAGGACCAGTCGCCTGGCCTCCACGATCCCCTGACCTAAATCCATTAGATTTCTTTGTGTGGGGATTTCTAAAAGAAAAAGTGTACCAGACTCCCGTAACCACAAGAGATATGCTAATAGACAGAATCAGGAATGCATGTGATGGAATAAGGCCTTATTTGAATAATGCTATACCACGTTCGATCATTCGTAGATGTGAATTGTGTATTGAACAATTGGGTTTACATTTCGAGCAAGTACTTTAGATTTTGTATGTTTGTCCTAACTATCCAATAGCATTTTAGTTGTAAATAATTAATTTAATTTGTTAAAAATAATATTGGAAAATTAAACAAATTAATGTTCTGTTTTTTGTGTTTATTTGGAGTTAGGAATTATTGCTGTGTTTAAAAACATAATCTAAACGATCATCTTAATTACTTGTAATGCCCAAATCGAAAATGTAAAAAAATATTATTTTCCCATAAATAATTAAAAATGCATCGAACCTTAAAAATCGAAATATCTCAAAAACGGCTAACTATAACGAAAACTGACAGGAGAGCTTTTTTATGCAGAAAAGTGCGAAGAATCAGTTTTTTTATTCAAAAAGCAAAAAATTGCACTAAGACAAAATTTTCGGTTATTTTAATACACTACAGGTACAGTAGAGAGCGCCCTCTAGCGGCTACAGGAAAACTATGCCCATGGTGCGTTTTGTCGTACCAAAAAACTCTTGTATACCAATTTTCACTGTTATACATCAAATATTGTTCGAAATATTTAAAAAAAAACTATTTTTCGACCCATGTTTATATAGACTTTATGCATTAATTTTAAAAGTTCTATCGAATCTTAAAGTTATGCAACAATAAACTGAAACACCCTGTATGCTCATAGTTGGCTACAGCGCCATCAATGAGACAGTAACTTTTTTAAAGTAGACTTCTAATTATTGCGGTGAGGAAAAACATAACTGTGAAACATTCTCAGAGATGACGCTACGATATTTCATTTCATTTCCATTCAGGTAGAATACGTTAGTCAAGGGAAAATATTAAGGAATTTTTGTTTCCTCATATTATTTTTCGGGGGCGAAAAAAATCTTCAGGAAATATTTCGCAAGGACCCTTTTATTCAGAATTATCATAAAAGCCTAAAAAGGCTTTTTCAGGAGCGCAAAAACTTTTTTAAATTTTCTCAAAATAATTTTGGACCAGGAAACACGCAGCTTTGTTGCTAAATTTCGAGTTTAAAAATATACATGAGTAAAATAAAAAAATATATTTCTAAAAACAAACTTTTATTTAGCTGTTAATAAAGAGAACATATACTTTTAAAACATTTTTTTGATTGGAAATATTTAAACGATAATGAAGCTCTTTTATCTTAAGTTTTCAAATAAAAGCGTGTTACGAGTACATTCCTTTTTCATCCTGCTGTCGAAACGTAACTCCCTTATATTTGAAAACTTGAGATGGAGCTTTAGTGTCGGTTAAATATTTCCAATCGAAAAAAATGTTTAGTTCACTTTATCAACAGCTAAATGAAAACTTTTTTTAAACGTGTTTTTTATTGTATTTATCTTTACTTTTTAGCATTTATGATGTTAAGTATCTTGGGCGATCGCCACATTGGATGGAAAACGACGTCACTTTTTTTCTGGCGTTTCTCTCATCAAGCCAATTCTTCTAATATCCATATCATAGGAGGAAATTGAAAATGATAAATGTCCATTTTATAGCATCCGCCATATTGGATTCACAATAGCGGTAGTTAATATATTTTGTATTTTCACGCGAACCAAACGTGTGAACAAATTCTAGCACAATTGTTTGATGTTAACTGGTTGAAAATTCAGTTCCAAGATTTGTCCCTCACATGCATACATTCTAACATATAGCTGTAGTCACCCTTCTTGGCGGTTACGTCATCAATAAGTAAACAGATCGAGTCTCGATACCATGGGCGGAACACTGCCCCAGCCAGCAAGGACACGTATATTTCACGTGAAAAGAACCTACCTCTTTCACGGCCCTATTTGGCGTGGAAAGTCCGTTGAATTTGTGGGTGAAATGTCAGATAGAATCGACGTCATTTTCTGACAGCGATTCCACGTGATTCATACACGTGGTTTCCACGCCCCTTTTCGACGTGGAAAGGCCGTTAATTTGTGGGCGAAGTGTGAGATAGAATCGACGTCACGGTCTGATGACGATTTCACGTGATGATTAACTGGATGAAGGTGGTAAATAATATTTGGATCAAAAATGAGTTCAATATATTTGGCGAAGCCTAGAAGTAGTACTCTGTCCGAAAAACAGGTTGGTGCTACTGTGAACAATAACTGTTATTGTTAACAACCAGTTTTCCAGACAGAATTTCACTTATAGCCTTCACCAAATATACTGAACTCATTTCAACCCAAATGTTACTTACCACCTTCATCCACTCAACCCTTCAAATGTGATTATACTAAAGAAGGCCACTGAGGTGGAAGACATGTTTACAATATACAGTATTTAAATTATGTGGTTCAATTTGTAAGGGCGGACAAAATGAAGGATTAATACTATAGTAATTTTATTTGAAATAACTACTTGAATAATCATAACAACTTCTTAAAACATGAGTATTCTAATTTTTTGTCCAAAGTTGTAAGCATTTTAGTCCTAAATATGTCTTATTAACAATATTTCACCGATTGCTTTAAATACAAACCATTATATCTGCTCATACATTTTATGTGAGATCTAAAAGTAAATGAATACTGATAAGATTATATATTAACTTATATACATATATAAATAAGAAAATACATACAACTTTTGCAGATATGTTTTAATACATTTCATTGCATATTAGCTTTCTACTTAAATATGATCTTAGTGAATGAAACAATAGTTTTGTGAGCATCAGATTAAGCATTGATGTATTTTTGGGTCCTTAGAGCCGCATAGTTGTGAAGAATAGGTGATGCATACATCTTGTTCAATATTACCACTATTGTCAAAATCTTGCTCTAAATGTCTCACATTTCTCAAAATATCCTCAGTTACTTTAAAATTTGAATTACCTGACTCTACAACACTGTTGTTGAGATGAAGCCACAATCTGAGAGGCATTTATTTTATTAAGTATTTGTTGAACTTCCTTTCAAACATGTCTAATGACTGATGCTCACTAATAGTAGTATAAAATCAAAGTTGCATATTGTTTTTTGTTAACACAATATTACATTCTACTACTAATGAGGATAAAAAAAATATATGAATATTTTGTTTTATATCTTTTTGGTGCAAGCTTTAACCAAGTTTTAATAGCATCTTCTTCACACAACTTTTTTGGTAGCATTGGTGCCAGAAAGAACAGCCCCTTGAAATGAAATTTGAATATATAGATGTGATATAATCAACTGTATACAAAATAGGATTACAATCCCACCATACCTTAAAATCAATATAATTTGACTGGGGAAAAATGAAATATGACAGCTAAAATGCAGAATAAAATGTCTGATAGAACATTCTGTTAGTTTTTTTATTTGAAAACATTTTTTTACTTATTTACCTATATATAAAGCTGTCACATCAAAAGGGATTTTTGAATATAGTTGTGCATTAAGTCTTGTATGTTACATCAGATACAAAAAACAAAATTTGTAAGCAATAATAGGTCTGAAACTGTTTGGGAACCCTGTTAGTACTTACTTATTACAACCTTGTTGAGAAATGAAGTTTTGAATGCTTTCTTCTCTTGTCTAGTTCCCAAATAATTGAAGCTAACTGCCAAATTATTAGATATTAGGCGCTTCAAAATTATATTTGTTCTATTGCTAATATCACGTCCCCCTAACTTCGAAAAGATCTGAAAAAGAAAATAATATTCTCCTAATTTGGTCATATAACAAACAAAAGTCCTAATGACTTGTATGAAATCCCATGGCTACTGCTATTCAGTATAAAAATGCTGTACATATTTTCGCTCAACAGACTCATTGTTCTACAAACATAAAGTCCCACTTTGTAATCAAAAGTCTTGCAGGTAATGAATTTTTGCAGTTTAATTAGCAGCTGCATTATTTGAAAAATATTCAAATTGAATTGATGCTGTTCCTTGATGACTGTCATAGAGAGACTTGAAGTAATTAAATACATTTCAGGGCCGTATTGTTAGTCATTCTTACAATTGAAGGATGCCTTTATGGCTTCCTTGATTTTCATAGTATTTTCTCCTCTTCAAAAGGCTGCGGTTATGAAGTTATGTTTTCTTCTTGAATCGTAGGAAATTTCAGGCTGATAAAATGGATATAAATCAAAAGTATGAACATTTTGGTGCGAATAGATATTTGTAACATAACCTCAAAATCGAGCGGTAAAACGAAACAGTAGAAAACTGTGGAAATCAAGGAGGCCATAAAGGCGTCCTACGATAATTGTTGGGACGACTGACGATAGCGATACGGCCCTTAATTATAGGTAAAGTTTGAAGAATATACCTACGTCCTCAAATAACCGATATCGTACTGCTTATACGGTACTTGTTCCTTGTTCGTACTGGCTGCTTATATGGTGGCTGGTGGCCACCACACCCATTTCTTTCTCGGCGTCAGCCACTTTTCATGCACTATGGCAATATCGCCTCCAGCACCACCAACAATTTTATCTGAAAATTCAATTCCTATGCCTATGGCTCATACAAAGGCATAGATACTGTCACGACGCTGTTCTTGATTAAACGATGAGGGGACCGCTGTTTTAATTCTCTTCCTGGAAATACTCTAATATATTTAGCACGATCTGTCGGCCTTCTCCATTGATCGTATTTCCGGAAATTGTACAATTATTGGAGATTGATAACAGGACAACTGAAACTGCACGCCGATGTCAAGTAAGTTGTCACTCTGAAAAATATGATTGAAGGTCACTCAAACGTAACGACAAAGTTTTCGAGACGGAGACACACAACTAAAAAACGTATGTCATTGAGCTTGCCGAACAAACAATCACACACGGGTAGGTCGCATGGGTATGTATGATGGAGATGGACATAACATATTATAAAGGGATACTGGTAGTCTTACTTTGACCCTCCAAGAACGGTGACGACAACTATACTAACAAACAGGTCAAGTTAAATAGAAGCTTGGAATAATAAATAAAATGCATAGGATTTTTCCTCTAAGAAATTTAAAAATGGTGAATATGTTTTTGCTGTTCAGTTTGTTTCTATAAGCAATCGTCGTATTTTTTAAAAAGGGACCAGCAGTAGAAAATGTTGACGTTCTACGATCATTTCTTGCAGAAAATGGAACAGGAGCTGGAAGCAGAACGCAAAGTGGCAACCGACTTCAAATCAAGAAACTCCTCGAACGCTCAAACGTCAAAGACGCTAAGGAACAAAGTCACCGAACTAGAAAACGACAAGAAGAACACTGAGGCTCTCAATAGCGAAATCAACAAAAAATTAAAGTAGGTAATATTAAAATAGGCAGTCTTTAAAGAATGTTCGGCAGAGCGGAAAACTAAGCTTTTGTCAAAGAAAACTACGAAAATTGGTCGGAACTTATTCTTATTCCTTTGCGAAACTGTCTTGATAATACAGTCATTTTAGTTATGTATTTTACTTTGTCTCGCTGGTTCGTTTCCACGCTTACCTCAACAATAAATGAAAACCACATGATGTTGAAAAAAGACTTCACGGACGTTTTGGACACATCAGTGGCAAGTACAAATTGAAGTAAATTGTCAATTAATTTTATATAACTCATCCAGTCTACTACCACGCTTCATATAAAATAAATTCTTTTGAATTAGCATGTAGTGTAACACATATTTATAAATGTAAACCTATTATGGATTTTAGTCTTTTTCAGTATTAGACTAGGCGCTCGATGAAATTCAGTTTACAAAATGTGAAGACCGCAATTTATTAACAGATAACAACAGATAACATGTCAAAGAATAGTAATCCCGATCTTGCCGGGCCACTTTTAGCTGCATTTTTTATTAATCTCATCCCCTCTAAATGTTTTTCGCCCCGACCATTTTTTCTGATTTCTCGGATCATTCTGAACATCAAAGGTCCTTAATCGAGTTTCTCTAAAGTTAATCGTTTAATGTCTGAAGAAACCTAAGAATGGTTATCTCCAATGATTAAAAACTCGGTTAACAATCATTACTTTTGAGGTTACCCAGTATCCAAATTAAAGCTAAAATCTTCCCTTATAAGACTCCGAAGAGTATTTGAAGATTAATTTATTTTGAGGGGATCTTCAAGCTGGTTTGTTAGGCCAAAACTGACGAACTTTTACCGTAAAGTGAACATTGCACATTGATTAAATTAAAACCTAAACCAATGTTTTGTTTATAGCAAAGTGTATTGGCAATAAACTTTTTTTAAATATTCAAAGCGCCCAAAGAGTCATGGAAGGCAGTGATAGGAGGTCATTTCCAATTCGAAAACCCATGTGGAAATGACCCCCTATGGCTACCTTCCCATGACTGCTGGTACGTCCAGTATATTTAAAAAACGAAGTAACTGCCAATATACTTTGCTATAAACAAAACATTGGTTTTAGCTTCAATTTAGTGGAGGTAGTATGTACAGTCTGTAAAAATCAAAATCAAAAATCGATTTAAGATAAATTAATCTATAAATACTCTTCGGGGTCCTGTAAGGGAAGGTTTTCGCTTCAACGCACTTACTAACCTCAAAAATAATTTTTAACTGAGTTCTTAATAATTGAAGATGGCCATCATTTTTAGGATTTTCAGATATTAAATGGCTTATAGCTCGAAAAGGTTACTGAAGGGCCTTCTTGTTCAGAATGATCCGAGAAATCAGAAAAAAAAGCGCAGCGAAAAATAATTTTTTTTGTAATTACTTAGGAGGGGCGGGGATTAAAAAATCGACCAATTAGTGATCCGGCAAGATCCGGATCATTATTTGATATCTGTTCATAAAGTGCGGTTCTCACATTTTGCCAACAGATTCTATCCAACGCCTGGTCTATATACAGGGTGAATTTGAAGTTGAGTCATTAAATTTCAGATAATAATTGTAGAAGGAAGATAAACCAAAATGAGTGTAAAAAATAAAAAAAATATTTAAAAAAAATTTTACCTTGTTTTATAAAGTATCCTCCCGACAAGTATTTCAGTGCGGACCCGCGCGCCCAAAAGCATAATCACAAAAACTGTTCGAAATGATTTCCGTTTTGCTCGACGCAGAGCTGGGCTTGTTGCCAAACACGAGCACATAATATTATTATTGAGAAAGGGCGGTACTCAAACTTCTAAAGGGCTATAACTGTGTTACTTTAATTTTACCAGAAAAATGTTATAGGAAAAAAACATTTCTTTTGATCAGATCTACTGACTGTTAAAATAAATGATTCAACTTCGAAGTCACCTTGTATAAAAACAGATGTAGATAACTTCGAAAATAGTATCGTCAAATAGTTCCGACACAAATATCGCTTTGTAAGAAGTGACAAGCTATGCACATTTTGCGAGATGTTTACGTTCAATCAACCATGGTTTACCATATCGTCTATTTATCACACAAGTTCTTTTGATATTGAACGATAAGTACAGTCAGAACTTATTTTCTACAATATGCGCTTTATTCCAGGTTACTCCAAGACTCAATCAAACATAAGGAGGCAGCTTGGATCAAAGAAAAAGACGATCTCACAAAGAGCCTCAAGCATCAAGAGAATCTTCTCCAGAAGTTGACTGCTGACAAAAATTCATTTGAAACAAGGTGCCTTATCCAAATAACCTTAAGAGCCTTCTCAGAATTTTTGATTCCTTTCCCTATTTATTGAAATAATAAGGTCTTAATCTATAAGTCTAGTCCTCAAGAAAGTATATCTGTCGCACTGTAACTCGTAGAAAATTTCCGCAGGATTTAATAAACTTTTTTAACAGGTATTTTCGAATTGAACTGATATTCATTTATAAGGCTTTGATGCCTCCAGTCTGATCAGGCTCCTTCACAAAATGCATGCCAGGTTAAGGATGTTTTAAGTCGCACCTATTCTGAACGATGGATCTACGTATTTACATTTAAGGATGCACTGACCCCGTCTCCTACTGTACTTGTCTGTGTAATACTTTTATTACTCAAAATTATATCAAATTCACCATTGCTCAGATTGTTTAGACCTAGAATTCAATCAGATTCGAACACCAAATTGCGGTTTAGCCGATTGCTATACCTACATTAACTGGACTAATTTTTTGCTGATGTTTTATCCAACAATACATCATCTGGGAACATATAATTTAAAGCTGATTGGAAATTACAAAAGTTAACTTCAGAAATGGCGATATCTAAAAAAAACAAGCATAATCGAATAAGGATATACATATATATCATATATCAGCCCCTTTCGTTTGATCCACGACTTTTGGGACACCCTGTATATGATGTTCTATCGAATAAGAGAAGCTGTGCAGATGGGTGGCTGACTTTCTCCCTGACCGCAAGATATCCGTCGTAATTGCCGGGTTCTCCTCTTCATCCCACAACGTCAACGCGGGGTGTTCCCCACGGATAGGTCGTGGCTCCGATACTCTTATATATATAAAAGAGCTCAATTCCTATACAATCAATCCATTCCACAGCTTTGTTGATGACAGCAATCTACATGGAGGAATTCAGAGCGACAAGCCGATTTCTGCCGCTGAGCTGGAAAAAAGAAGACTAGCAGCGATTTCCTCTCTGACGAGACACTTAGAGGTTAACACTGCTTGCGGACGCAACAATCTTGTACAGTTTAATGCTTCCAAAACATAGTACTGTATGTACCTCGACGAACATAAAACATCCTAACGCTCATCCGTTCATTTCGGCTGGTCGGAGTCCAGATCACCGAGGACTTGATCTGTCACGACCACAACTCGTCAATAGCGGCAGCTGTTGGGAAAAAGCTACGCTATTTGTTTAGGGCAAAGGACTTTTCTCAACATGGCCGTCTCAGTCTGTATAAGGCCTAGATAAGACCTAGCCTCGAGTATTGCTCACACGTTTGGGGTGCTGCCACCCCGACTACGTTATCCATGCTCGATTCTGTCCAGAGGAGGGCTGTCCGACTGATCGATGACTCTTCCCTAACAGATAGCCTCGGCGGCGGCGATCTAGCTCTCTTCTACCGCTACACCTTTGCTCCCCAGAGCTGTCCTCCACGCGGTTTGTCGCCAGACAGACCCGCTTGACTTCGGCCTCCAATCCTAACCGCGTCGAACTTCGTACATCCAGAACTGGCCGATACGACCTATCCTTTGTCCATAGGGTGTTGAGATTGTGCAACGATCTACATGAGGCGGTTTTTTCCAGTTCTACTAACCTTAACCAGTTCAAAAATCGGATTAGCAAAGTTTCTTTGGGATCCTCATAGCAGCCGCGGTGTGCTGACATTTAGGCTTCTGCTTGCGCGGTTTCTTCCGTGTAAAAAAATAAATAAACAAGTTGAATTTTATCAACAGCATATTTTGTTGGATAGGACTTTGGTATACAAAAATGATATTACATCAATAATATATTTTTTTCCAAATGTGCATACAAAAATTGTCAATTTATAGCGAACCCTTGTTCAAAGCAGTGTTGAATATTACTTTATAATGTTTTACAAAATATATAACGGTATCAGCCATCAGAATGTCATGCCCATGCATGCCCCATGTTTTTTCTTTCAGAAAACAAGTTATATCTGGCAGCAGTCGATCTTGAATGCTACATGCTCAGTATTTCCTGAGATCCACACCAGCAGAATGTACATATTAATGGGTCCGTCAGTATCAATCGAGACAATGGATATACCACCATACAGTAAACACTAAGTTTCATGATACTGACGTATTACAGTAAATATTGAATGTGTATCATTCGCCTCAGATGATCGACAAAATAAGTATTTTGAACACTTTGAATGTCAGAAATGTTTTCACTAACTGACAAAAACTGTTTTTTGTTCCTTCTTTTTTGGACAAAAAACAATTGCAAAAGATGGTTAGTGAGCTTCACAATAGAGGACCTAGGATCCTTAATTATACTAGTAGTAGTAGTAGTAGGCTACCTTTGACCCTTTTTGCAGACGCCGTAGTACCAACACTGTACTACTGCACGAGCCAACTACTGGTAACTGATATAATAAACCAGCTACAGCCATGAGATGTACCTATTGTTCATGTTTCACCCATGTGTGTAGTATAAACACACAACACAACATCCATGATACGGAATAAGCTTCCCAGTAGGAGAATCGAACCCGCGATCCTGGGGTTGCTAGCTCGACGTGCGAACCATCGAGCTACCGATGCTCGCTTTAATTATATTATACAGGGTGGCGCATCGTTATTTTTTGCCAAACTTGTCCTCCTCGAAAACAAAATCCACGGGTCTGAGCGTTTTTCCAAAAAAAAAAAACTGAGCTGCCAGAAAATGCGTCTGTTTCGTTTTCGATGCGCGACCCTGTATATCCGTCATATATTAGAATGCTTATACCGTCTTTTCTTGCTTATCAAGGCAAGAATGTCCTGTTTAAAGTTTTCTAACCTTTACACAATCAAACATAGAAGCACCTCAACGGGTTACGGACTAGGATATACCTCTGATTAGTTGATGTGCATGCAAAAACATGCTTATTTCGCGCAAAGGCAGATAGCTATGCTCACAGAATTTAAAAAAAAATGATAAACCAACTTGGCTTAAAATAGTGGCCTAGCTCGTAGTTTCTACAAGACCCAGTTACCACGACATGGACCGACGTGAAGTGCACAATTCTTCAAGCAGGGTATGGCAGAACCATACTTTGACGTTTGGCACTTGGATTGATTCACATCAATGTTCTCTTTAGGTTGGAGACCATGCAAGATGACCGCACCAACATCCAGGACAGGATGCAAACCATCATCGATGATCTCACGGGCAAGCTCAACCAAGCAGAAGCTCAACTCGAAGAGGTGACCAAAGAGAAGGACGAAGCCTGCGAAAGATGCAGAGAAATGGAGGAACATATGTCCAGGCTGGGAATCCAGAACAGAGATACCATGAACGCAGTCTCGAACAGCGTCAACTGGGGTAAAGGTACGATGCTATTTGATTACGATTGAAAGTATTCGTCCACTATACTGTATCGGGCCCGTAACTCGACGCAACGATTCATACTCATATTATGGTTCTAGCGGACAAATCATAAAGCAGTTTATCTGAGACACAACCGAACTTGTAAGACGGGTACTAGAAAAGAAATTCACCTAGCCATGAATCACAAGACGTACGATTTTCTTGATAATTTTATTTTTCGATGGAATCCCCCTATACAAATGCACTTGCGCCATTTCTCTTCCAGTGAACGTATACTCTTAAAAAAAGTGTTCAACGCCTGCTTTTAGGTCACCATCTGAGTCAAAACAGCGCCCTCGAAGACTTTTCTTTAGTAACCTAAAGAGATAAAAGTCAGACGGAGCCAAGTCCAGACTACAGGAAGGATGGTCTATCTACATTCCAGAAAAATTGATCTAATGTTGGTCTCATTGTCATGCAGCAGGAACACTTCTCGATTGGATAAATTTTGACTTTTCTAGCTGATTGCTTTACGTGAATTTTTCAGCGTATTCGCATACACGTCCGCATTTGTTTTTATCCCTTTTAGCATGTATTCAATGAGACAAATGCCGTTGATGTCCCAAAAAACCGTTGCTATCAATTTTACAGCAGAGGGTTACATCCGTGCCTTTTTGGGGGGGCTTGGATTTTACTTTTGTCTCAGAATCCCACCCCCGTCACCATTTGTACTGAAAAGTTAGTATCATTGGTCAAAGTTTCCGAATGACTCTAAAATGTCCAACCTGCACAATTTTTGTTGAAGTGTCAACAGTCGTGAAACCCGCCTGGCTGACACATGACTCATGTTCAAATTGCCGTACAAGATAGTTATTACGCTGGGTTCCGATATATCCAATGTCATACTAAAAGTAGAGGCCTACACACGACGATTTTTGAGAACCATGTCTTCCATTTTTTAAGTCATTACAACATTTGTTGCTGTTTCTAAGATCTTTTTCTATGGATTCTCGCCCCCATCATAACTGTTCCGACCAAAATTTTATTGTATAATATGATTTTGTATCATCCCCATAGACATTCTCTCAAAAACTGTTTTCGGCTGATGACCCTGTTTTGTCAGAAATTTTATGACACTGCGATACTCTAATTCCAAGTTACTCATTTTTCCTCACAATTTTAAATATAGGGTTCATATATATCCATGTTTCTCAGACCGCTAAGTGAAACCACATATGTAGGATTGACTGTTCACCATTTTCTTTTCAAAAAGGCCACCAAGATGTCCCAAATGTTAGTAAATAGTCAATCTACATAAGTTTCAGATGTTATAAGATCCTTGCACCAATTTCATCATCTCAAATTCCAACTTGCTGATTTGACCCATGCAAAAAACCAACGGGAAGGTCATTAAAGATAAGATAAGGCAACGCAAATGATAATAGAAATTGCTGACTCTATGTAGATATATCATTTGCAAACACTTGGCACGTACTTAGAATGGAAACAGCTGAGAATGATGTAGAAGTTTCAAGGTCTACAAAATGGTGGTTCAAGATTAAAAAAACTACAATGCCTCGAAGTATAGTTCTTTTCACGGTTGTAACCAAATCGAGTAACAACCATGTGAGCAGCTGAAGCTCCATAGGAAAATTGCACTCTGGCTACTCTTGCACACATGCACTGGTTAATAAAAGACCACTTTCTCAAAATACTCTAATAATTTTGGCAAACACTATCGATATTATGCGTTAGTTGTATCACGATACATGTTTTATGTTACGAAGATCAATAATCACCGACTAGGAATACTCGTACATTGACGAGAAAATCTCTTGGTGACGATAGGAATCTAAAGAACGTATTTCTGACCTTTTTTAGTACATAGTACTAGTATGAACGGCCAAAAACCAGCAGATTATACATTACAAAATAGGGCTTATGAAATTGGACAATGTCAGTCTCTAAAAAATGTTTTGTTTTTAAGAATTCCCGCAAGTAATATCCGAAGCGGATAAATATAATGAGTCCATGATGAAGGATATCGTGCTCAGAGAACTGAAGGACAGGGTACAAGATCTCGAAAAAGAAAATGAGAACTACAAGCAGACCATTGCAGTAGTAGTAAGTAGAAACAAATCAGTGTTTTATATTGTTTATTAAGGGATAGAAGAGAGCGATACATATATATATATATGGAAGAGGGTACGAGTCATGCAGTCATACCCTGAAGTGAGGATAAGTCAATTTTTTGACAGTTTTGTCATAAAATTCTTATTTTTAGCATTATTTTTTAAAATGCGAGTGTTTGCAGATAACTGTGTTGTTAGGCGATATAAGGATATGGTACTTCTTACATAATTTGCAAAGAGCGGCACAAGCCTAATGAAGGTAAATGTCTCCATCGGTATTATTATTATTATGTTGGTACATAACGCTGTCACTTTGGTAGGTGTTGGTAGATGAATGAGCCAAAAGTATGCAATAAAACAACGCAATTTTGGTGACAGATATAGGCGTAGCTCCTTCTAATCTATTTGAATTCGTGGTTCATACCACTTTCCTGATTTCAGTTTAAAACTACAGAAACAGGAAAAATTATAAGTTCTCTTCGCATCTCGATTCGTGTGGACAAATTGAGGCATAATTTGAAAAGCTCCTACACCCGTAATATCCGTTTATCATATTTTTTAGGAACAAATGCCTCAATTCCCAAGTGAAACTGAAAAATCTGTGAGGGTACAACACGAGGTTGTCCTGAGGTACAAGCAAATGTTAGCTGAAAGTGAAGCAAAATTAAGCGACAAGTAAGCAATTTTAGACTTATGTAAATATATGTCTAAGTAGTGCAAAACAGTTGTATTCGCCGCAATATGGCTAGCCATATCTATTTTAATAATTCAGATCACCAATATTTTGTGTGAAGCATCATTGAGGAAAATCGCCATTTCGACAAAATGGCTAGATGCACAATCATTCATTTGGTTTTTGAGTATTTTTGCTGAATATTAATGTTAACTATAGGTCTCAGGAGGTAGCTAGATTGACGTCGGAGATTCGACAGTTAAAAGTCAGACAGGAACATCTCGAAGAGTTGAATCAAAAGTGTCCTGCTGAAAATCTTCAGCGTATGGTGGAAGAGGGTAGGTTATGAAATATTAGACTTCCTTCTATTTCTCGCTAAACTAATCGTATCCATCCAAAGATCAGATAATGTAGTTTTATGCATTGAACAATATAATCAGTAGCGCCATTGAAATCCTTCTTTAAAAATTGTAGGGAATACAATTATCTGGAGTAATTAGACAAGCGGATCAAAATTACCGATAATTTTTAATGAAAGCGTATTGTCTAAAAACTGCATCAGTTTGGAGTCGGGTTCTTTCTGCAAAATATGAAAATAACCGAATGATGTTTTTTACTGTCAACTTGCTTGAATAGAAATCAGGTTTATTAAAAAAATAATAACTAAAATTTGATATTTATGCATGTCAAGATGACAAATGCACATTAATTTCATCAATCGTAACTATAGATACGGACCTATAGGGAAATTTTCGATACCTACTGAGCAATTAACGGAAGTAATTACACAAGTGCATCAAAATTAGCGATAATTTTTCATGAAAACGTGTTGTCTAAAAACTGCACGAGTTTGTTTTCATATTTTGGCGAAAGATCCCGATTCCGAATGTAACGGGAAATTGTCGCTGTAATTTTGCGATAATTCCATACTTCTTATGGCATTTTTATATATGGGGGAAATATTATGTTCAAGAATTACCGACATATTCCTCTTTTGGTTTAGAGGTTATTTCTCCGCTCCGCAATTTTTGCAGTGTTTGAGTGCAAAAAGTGCGAGTATTTTCTTGAGTTTTGTCAACTCGGTTAGACCCCATTTTTTTCTAGCAATTCAGCGTTGTAAAATCAGTAGTTATTGATGCTGATCTTGTGTCAGACCACAAGTTAGTTTTCTATGCTATTGCTCCCTAAATTTGAACCCAAGTTAGTAACTTTTAGAGATATAAAAAATATTGATATTAATTTCAAGGGCGACTTACTTCATGCTGGACTTGATTATTTCTTTTATTTTATGGATATTGATAACAAAGTAAGTTGTCTAACTAGTTGCATAATACAAATATATGATATCCACGCGCCATTACGAACTGCTCGTGTAACAAAACCGGCTATGGGAGTCATGAAATCAACACCATGTTCAGCAATCTTAGCTGAAGCAAGGGAACCTCCTATTTCATTACGAAAAAGGTACTTTGCAAAGAAGGTCGTTGTCAAATACAGAACCTAAAACGAATACTTGCTTAATAAGATAGCACAATGGGTAACTGCAGACTTGACTAACAAGTACTGGTGAAAAAAATCTTCACCACTGCTAGCTGAAGCTTTCGTAGAGACCAGTCATCTCGCTAATTTAATTCATCATATGGATAACAACCCGTTATATGTTGGCCCTTATGAAGTATTCCTTAATGAAACAACCATCACAGTCCCTACATATACCGAAAACTGTTATTACAATACTTCTGTTCTATCTGCCGTATTGGAAGAACTCAATTGCCACACTGTCGTCTATACCGACGGCTCCAAAAGTGAGATGGGTACTGGGTGCGCATTCTACGTCCCACAAAAGGATTATTGCAAGGGATACCGGATTCCTGACCTGTGCTCGATATTTACAGCTGAAGACTATGCAGTACTATAGGCAATTTTCTGGTGCCTTTCACAAAATATTAATTAGGCAAGAATTATAACAGATTCGATATCATTCTTAGAAGCAATTAAACAAAATCCTCATAAATCATATGATAATTTTTTATTATGCAAAATCAGAAACTTGCTCGTCACTTGTAAAGCCAAAAGAGCTAAGATAAACTTTGGGTAAAAGGGCATGCTGGCATCAGAGCCAACGATATGGTTGATAACGCTGCAAAAAATGCAATTAACTCTAGTACGATTACTGATGTACCACTTTTTTCTGATTTATTCATAGAGATCAGAGGTAACATCAAGGAAAGATGGGATTTGATCTGGTCCAACTTTGTAGCAAACTCTCAAAATCTATGCCCTTATTCACCCGACCCTTCCCAATATAATTCCCCACATAGATCTCTTCTATATAAATAGAAGATTCTCCACAATTATAACGAGATTGAGAATGGGTCATGATTGCTTTCCTGCTCGACTTCATCGAATAGGTGTAATAGAGTCTCCAAATTGTTCTTGTGATGAATCTTCTATAGCCGATCTAATTCACATATTTTTTTTCTTGTAATCTTTACACCAATATCTCCAACCAATTCATCGCTCAGATGATTAAACTTGGCTTCCAACTACCTTTAAGTTTGACTACCATTTTATCCTTTCCGGATATAAAAATTTATTTAGCTCTAATTCGATTCCTTAAAAAGGCAAATATTACCATATAAAATAAACCTTATCTGAATTTCGTAACTATTCAGTTATATCCCTCCTTTTCTTTCTTTCTTACCGTCTCTGGCAATGGTCAGATAATATAAATCCATTAACAAAATTTTGTGGCAAATGGACTCTAGTTTCCGATGCCATTATTTGACACACCCACATAACAAAACCGGCAGCTCAATGGATAACATCTAACCTGAGAAGCATTTTTAAGGAACGCGACAAAGCTCTCTTGAATTTCCGTCATGACCCATCTGATGTAAACTGGTCTACGTACAAACAAATTACGCACTTGCTTCCTTCCGTAGGGAGAAGAGCGCCTAAAAACACTTAAAACTATGAATGTGTGTCAACGAATATTTTTTAAGTACTTTTACTTCCATCTGGTAACCCCTCTTGAAGTTATGGATGCAGTCTTGTCTATCAAGTCTGAAGCAGCGGGTTGTGTTGGCATCCACTCTAACTATGCCAGGGTTATGCCTGCCTGAAATACTTGATCACATCACGCATATTATTAATATTTGCTTAGAGAGTGGTGTTTTCCCATCCAACTGTAAGGAGGCAATAGTCACACCTTTGGCCAAAAATAATAATCCGTCTGAACATGCCGATCTTAGACCTATAAGTGGTTTATGTTTCTTTTCGAAAGCTTTGGAGAACATAGTATACCGACAGGTTGTCGAGTATTTTGCTAATAATAATTTCTTTACAGTAGACCAATCTGGTTTTCGTGAAGGTCACAGTACGACTACTGCAATTCTACCTCTTGTAGATCAGATACTTCACAACCTTGACGACAAGTCTGGCACGCTGTTGGTAATGCTTGATTTTTCCAAGGCTTTCGATAGGTCAATCATGAGATTCTTTTGAGTAACCTAAAATATTATGGCATGTCAGAAGTTCCTTTGAATTTCTTCAGATCGTACCAAACTAACAGAACCCAAAAAGTGGAAACATCTAGAGGTACTTCTGATGCACGTTATATTTCATCAGGGGTTCCACAGGGTTCAGTACTGATACCTCTTTTTTCCGAGTATACACATTTTATCTGTAAGAATGTGTAGAACATTGTTGCATTCAAATGTATACTGACGATACACAACTAACATTTCGTTTCAATGAGTCCAACTTATATAAAGCATCGTATAAAATAAACCTAGGTTTTGATAACGTATTGTAATAGACAGAGTCTACATCAAACCGTCAAAATGTACCGCGATACCATACTGTCCTAATAATGCTAAGAATCTAGGTGTTATATTTGATTCAAATGTTAGATTCAACATACACGTGAATAGTATTATGAAGTCGAGTTATATAAAGATGAAGCTCGTATATTCTAACCGCCATATTCTAAACTTTAAGTGCCGTAAAAGGTTGTGTCATATCAATTTTAGCTTACTTTCTAGTCCTGATTTACCCATGCCTAGACTCGGTTTGAAAGTCAAAGTTGCAGAAGCTTCAGAACAACTGTTGCAGATTCATATTTGGTCTTAGGAAGTACAGTAGCGTTCCTTCAAAAATCAAGGAGTTACAGTGGCTCAGAGTTGATGGTTTATATAACTATTCCATGGCTTCATTGGTGCATAGAATTTTTAAAACTCGTAAACCCGTCTATAGAGGATACCAAATAAAACCCGATGCACGTCATCGATGTGGAGCTGTGCGCTGTTGCCAGAATTTGCACATTTTCTTTTAAGCAAATAAATTTAATAAAATAAATTGTTTATATATACCTACCATTTACTATAATACCATTATATTAAAAATAAATAAACTTGTTGTAAAATTAAATTCATTTCTGAATAAAAACACCTGATTTGGTAGATATTCAAAAACAAAATATTTAAAGAACATAAATTGTTTTCTCGTATTTTAATTAATTTGATTATTTATTTATGATATGGGAACTACAACACTTTTTCAATTCACATCAAAGAGAAGAAAGAACTCGGGTGATGCGATGTTACACAATACCGGCAACTAGCGGCAAGGAGTACTCTTTATCGAGCCTGATATTAACCGCATGGTATGGTTCAGTTGTATATCAATTCCGGAGTTTGATTACATTATACAGAATATATTTTGATGTTTTAACTATTCTGAATCACTGGAATCAGAGTCATCGTTAACATGGATAATAAGGGGAAGAATTTCCTGTCTATCCATTACTTGTTCCCTTCTATACCATTTCATAATTATCTCCTCTGTATGTCTAAAGGAGTTCTTCCACATATCAGGGGTAATAGTTTGGAGTGCCTCTTGCCACATTTTTAGGCAGTCATTTTCAGTGTGGCCATCTCTTCCAATATGCCGATTATAGTAATCTTTAATTAGCTCAATTGGGTTAAAAATACAGTGGTATGGAGGTAACCGTAAAACTTTATGTCCATATTGTTCTGCCAAGTTATCGACCACATACATTTTGGTTGGTTTATTCCAAAAAAAAAAAATAAATAGGAACAAAATGCATAAAGATTGGGTATTCTGCTCACTGTGCAACAATCGTTAGAAGTTCAGATTTGAATGCTTCATGTGGATACTGTATTTTTTGTTCAGTTAACCAATTCTGAATTTCATCCTTTCTCCATGAGCTATTGGGAGTTTTTACTAATAACATGCTATGGTATGATGGATTATCCATAACAATCACAGAGGGTTGGGTCAAGCTTATTAGTAATTGATTTTCAAACCAATATAAAAGGTTTAGCTGGTTCATTTCACCACGGTAATCATTAAGCTGGGTTTTCGATGAAAATATGAGCGACGCACCTTCAACAAATCCATTTTCATTGCCAGCGTGAACTATGATATACCTACAAATGCATTTCATTTTTATATAGAGCTTATTTTTCTATACATTTGAAAGCCCACCTTTTTCCATCAGCTTTTGTACTTCTAACACTTCGCTTGGATACTTTACACCACTTCACAGTAACTGTTGTTCTGAAAAGAACAATTTTTAATTGGCAAGGCAACGATTCAAAGCTCAATTAGCGCAAAACTCACAAACTAAACAATAAAGAACTAATAGTACGACAAAAGGACAATGGCAACTGATGTCAACAAATGAGAAGTGGCAACCTCACATATCTCTGCACGGCACTACCAACCGAATCGAGACGGGGAAATTTAAACTTCAAGTAGAAATGTCATATTGAATGTAGTCAACTGTTGGTAACCATGATTTTTATGAATGACATCACCTATGACGTGCATCGGATTTTATTTGGTATCCACTATATTTACTCGTGGAAGCCAAATTACTCTAAATCTGCGGCACAATGATCGACTTTCCATTCCTATACATCGTACGCCAATCTTTGAAAGGTCCTTTACTTATAATGCGGTCAAGTTATATAATATTCTTTACCAGCTAACTATAAGAGCTTAAGTTTGCAATGCTTCAAGACAGTCAAGTTGCACTTTCTGGACTCAGCACATTGAGTGATAAATTCATTTTTCCGAACGATAGCTTGTTCTATTGTTTCTATTCTTTGTATATGTTCATATTCTATAGAGGGTGTGTCAGAACTGTGGGATCAAACTTGTAGGGGTTATTCAGTGTAACCGTAGAAAACATTTGAGTATAGGGACCCATATCCGGAAAAGTGTCACTACGGCACTACGGCCCTAAGACGCGTTAAAATTTAGAAAGACGATGAATTGCCTAAATAGGGTTTAATGCATTTAATTTTTGCCTTTTGTACATGATATCATCACAACAATGAGTCAAAATGCTTCCTCCAACCTGAATACACCGATTTAAACGTCGCACATGATTTCGGCGGACTTTGCTAGAAATTTGGTATTCGTTTTGAATGATTTCAAATGCTGCTGTAATTCGTCCAATTAAGTCTTGCTCTGTTTCTACTGGAGTTTCGTAAACCAAAGACTTTACATGTCCCCACAGGAACGGTGTATTCAGGTTGGAGGAAGAGATTTTGAACAATTTTTGTGATGATATCACGTACAAAAGGCAAAAATTAAATGCATTAAATCCTATTTAAGCAATTCATCGTCTTTTTAAATTTTAACGCATCTTAGGGCCGTATTGCCCTTAGTGACACTTTTCCGGATATGGGTCCCTATACTCAAAATGTTTTCTACTGTTACAGTGAGTAACCCCTACAAGTTTGATCCCATAGTTCTGAAGCACCCTGTATTTACTCCTTTTTAATGTATTCCTTACAGCTACTGATTCATGTTGTTATGCTAATGTTTTGTGATGTCTGGTTGAAGTATGGTTAAGTAGCCATACATGAACATATCCTGAATACAGACATTATTATTATTATTAACTTGTATTCCTAGAGTTACCATTCATAAGATGTAGTGATCTGCGGACTTTCAGTCACTATCCGCATTATATGTATAGAAAAATCATTTGTCCAGAATTGCGTGGTAAATATAGTCGGTCGGTGAGAACAGTCCCTAGGGAATGAAGAGTATGTATATGTACTATTTCTTAATGCTGTATTTTAAATATAGGAAGGAATAAACTGAACGAAATTATGAACAGGTCTCTGGATTCTGAGCAGAAGATCCTCCAATGTGAAAACATCATCGAAAAGCAAAGCAAGCAGATCAATGAAATGGAGAATCTGCTGAGATATCGTGAGAATATGACAGGGGTTCTCAAGGCCTCCAGAGATGAACTCATAATGGAAAAGGAAAGTCTCACCAAATACTCGCAAGAAATGAGAAGTGTGTTATCTGAGGTAAATTCTTCATTTATAAAATAATTTGAAATAAGACTTCAGTAAAGAAAGTAGTCCAATTATACAGGGTGACTTCGAAGTTGAGTCATTTATTTTAACAGTGAGTAGATCTGATCAAAAGAAGTGTTTTTTCCTTTATAACAAAGTTGTAGCCCTTTAGAAGTTTGAGTACCGCCCTGTCTCAATAATAATATTATGTGCTCGTGTTTGGCAACAACGGATATAATCCGCCTTATCGGTTCATCGCATCGGAAACAAAAAAGCGAAAGAATTTGAAACGATGTTTTTACTACAATTGTTATTCAGTTGTATTCAGTCAATGTGTCAGTCGGTAACGCGTGAGTCAATAGTGGTGTTTGTTGCGTGGCTCAAACGAAATAAAAAATGGCACATGTTTACGAAAATGCTGTACATGTGGACATGATTCTTATTCTTAATCGAGTGCAACCAACCCCTCGTGCCTTTGTTAATGTACGAGTAGTACAAATGGCTCGTGAATCAGGTGACTTAAGAACTCACAGGGAGGGCATGCCGGTGCTCCAAGACCGCACGATCAAATACAGGTCCGCACTGAAATACTTGTCGAGAGGATACTTTATAAAACAAGTTAACATTTTTTTTTACTTTTTTTTTATTTTTACGCACATATTTTGGTTTATCTTCCTTCTACAATCATTATCTGAAAATTAGTGACTCAACTTCAAAGTCACCCTGTATAAGCCATAAAAGAGAGACCACCTAGGGATGATAATAAGCTATGGCCTTATAGACACCTTAATTTTGCCGTTCTAAAAGTTCTCAAGTCTCATAAAATTTCGTGTCGGCGCCTCGTATCAAATGACAGAAGTCACAAAAATCGGTATTTTGGTTTCTGTGGGTTTAACGATATTTGCATTTATTATGAATGTTGTAGAGAATCAAGTTCTCTACAACTTTTGTTTCAAAAAGCTTTCATACAAGTAGGGGAAAGTGGGGTACATCGACAGTGGATCAACGTATATACGTCAAAAATTGTTGAACCCGAACGAAGAATTGTGCCACCAACAAGCTCACATGTATGATAGAGGCCCCATGGAAGTACATATCTAGAGTATAGCTTCGCAAGAAGTCAGGACAGTCAAGGGCAAACATGTAATACTATAGGGCCTCTACAACATGACTTTTTTGTTGGCACAATTTTTCGTTTTGAGCAGTCAACACATATAGACACAAAATCACCCTGAACTCATTGCAAAGGTATATCCTAGATATGTACTACAATGGGGTCTCTATAAGACATATTAGTGTCTTGGTAGCACCATTCTTCATTTGGTTCCTGTGAATTTTTATATAAGCATATAATATGATTAATGAAGAATAATATAATGCATTAATTAATAAAAATATATATTTTTCAACGACTCGTAGACTTATATAATATAATTTACTAGAGATTAACCAATTCTCGATAATATTCATAACGAATCTAAATAACATTACACCCATAGGAAGCGAGATCGTTGCAAGAAAACGATTTTTGTGACATTTGACCTTTGATATCTTAAGAAGCGAACACGAGATTTTCTGAGATTTTTAAAATTCATTCCAATGTAAAGCCCCTAATATGACTGGATTAAAATGTCGCTCCTTGTCGAAAATGTCGCAAACGCCGTGATATGAACCAATTGTTGGTTGACAAATAAAAAATATCAAGTACTGATGTAGGTTTACACTGTACTTGCCGTACAATCATATCAACTTATTTGCAGGTTACAAGAGAAGGCAAGATGAAAGATCATCTGATCTCCGAACTTCAAAAGAAGATTGAGGTTCGTGAACGTCAAATCAGCAAGTTAGAAAAGGAGCTTCATGAAGTTGAAGCGAACCTCGTCCTAACAAACGAGAAACGTTACAAACTTCAAGAAACCGTTGGTGCCATGGAAAAAGAACTGCAGGCTACTAAAGCTCACGTCAATCAGCTAGCAGACTTGGATACACGGTACGATTTAGAGCCTTCCAAAGCGACCCTCGATAAGCTTGCCTTTGTAAATAACATGCGTACTGAACTACGCTCTATTGCTCAACACAAGAAAACGCCTAGTGGTTCTTTGACACAACTCAATAGCATCCAAGACAAGATATCAAATTTCAAAATACCAAAGAGTCATAACTTCTGTCCAGAGAACTACTTAAACATGTATTCTCTGTCAGATGTAACTCCAACTAAACACATAAACTCATCTTTGCGTATTAACAAAAATTGTCTGGGAGATATAAATGCGTCTTTGATGCATATGACTAGCATACAAGAGAGTTGCATAGATTTATCTTCTGTGTCAGACCTCCCGCGCAAATCCTCTACCACCTGCCTGCGTAAGCATAGCGCAACTATGACTGGAGATGATGATCCCATTCAAAATGAAATCAATGTTACTTTGAGGCATTTGGAAAGCATACAAGAAAAAATGTCAATGCCCGAAATACCAGTACGTCGTACATTTTGTCCAGAAGATCGCCTTGATTTGTCTTCTGTGTCAGAAGCCTCACCCCGCAATGGGACACAAAATGTACCATGCTTGAGTGATATAAATGCTTCTCTCACAACTGCCGATAATCTACAAAAAGGCTACTCAAGTTCAAGGGTACTGACTTGTAGTTTTTGTCCAGAGGAGTGTCTAGATATGTCTTTTGCGACAAGTACTGCCCCGCATAGGTTTCCAAGCTCGTGTTCACGTAAGCAAGGTACAAGGAGAAAGACATCATTTCATGATGTTACTACAAACTGTGGCGAATCAGTGGCTCCAAAGAAATTAAACAGTCGATCACTGATAGGTCTGTCATTACATCATGTTAACGTGATAAAAACTAGGCTAGATCATCTCAGTAGAATTAGCTTCTCACCTATGACTGGTAGAGAATCTGACAAGAAATTATCCAGCAAAAGATCGTGTTGTTCTCATTCTTCGTTAAGACCAACTATTCCCAATGAAAATTTGATAAAAATAGTAGAGTTAAGCGCGAAGAGATACGAACTATTACAAAAGCAAGCTTATGAATCATATGAGGAACTTACTAACTTGGTGAAATTGGCAATGTCTAGACAGCATATTGAATAAAATTTATATCTGTATATAATAATGCTTTTGATTTAGTAAATCGTTGAAGCAAAAGAATTATAGGAATAAAAGGGACATACCAGTAAAATTGGGTTAAGAAGTTTATATCACCAAGCATCTTAACAGATACTTCTATGTTTATTATTGTAAAACTGTTTTCTGTAATAAGTGTTGTTTGTTGATGGAAACAACAGAAGTCAAGTGCCCAGACATAACTCCACCCTGAGCCTTTCATGGAGACATTCGGACAATTTTTTTAGTACAAAATATACTTTTGATGTCTTGAAGAATTTAATTCTGTGTAAGGCAAAATATATTTCAAGGCAATGTAACAGCAATCTGTCAAGCAGCTTCTAATTTCATTTTTTTTCTGTGATTTCAGTACCAGACTTAAATTCGTCAAGCCCTTTTGAAGAAAAATTCACGTTGGTAAGAGAGAAGAGTGAAAAATAATTGAAAGTATATGTAAAACAAAACAAAAGTGCTTAATAACAATAATGTATTTTTGGTCCAAATAAAATTCAGTCATCATTACTGCTGTTTTCACTATCATCCGAGTATGCACCTAATAAAGACAGACCATTTTTAGTAGGAATGTTCACTATTGTATTTTTTGTGCTGTCCTCCTTTACTTCAACTGATTCCTTCCCAGTATCTTTCTTAACCTTCACAAGCCCAGACATAAATTTACCTTTTTTTACATTCTGATTTGAGCTTTTAGCCCAATTATGGACAGGAGGCTTTGGCTCAATTTCTAACTTGATATTTGATACTTCTCTATCTATTTTTGTTTGCTTTGGAGGTAAATCACTGATTTCCTCGATAATTTCTTCTTCAACTACTACTTTTCTTTTACTTGGACCTGACTGGAATTTAATCGACCTAAAAATATAAATGTACATTACCCAACAAGAGCAACTCAGAACAATTTTACAGTTTCATATAATTATTCAAGTATCTGATTGACTGTAGGTTCTAATACAGAATAGATTGAGCATTCGATCTCTGCATCTTTAATTTCACTTGGAAATGCTTTTTTTTTAAAGATCATTATTAATCAAAATACTTACACTTAGCAATACTGACTGGTAAAGAGATAAGCAAATTACTTTCTATAAGATATTTGAATGCATAGACATTGACTTACTTGATATACTCTTCATCCATTTGCCTTATCCTTTCTTCCCTCTCTTTCTGGGAAACTGTTGTGTCAAATTGAGACAGCATTGATTCATAGTCTACAACTTCCTGCCTTCTATTTAAGTCTTTCAATTCTTCCAAAGATTCCAACAGTTCAATTTCATTCTTTGACTGCTTTGTGCGATTTTCCAATAATTTCATTGGATTACTTGCTTCTTCTTCCTTAGCCTCTTCTTCTTCACGAAGTGCTTGTTCTTCTGCCAGCTTTAATGCCATAAAGTTTCTGGTTGCTCCTGCTTCTATTTCATAATCTGTGCTTTTGGGATCTGTCTTGAATGATATTTCTTGCAGGCATCTTGTACACTGAAAAATTGGAAATCTGTAATATTTACACATAAGTGAATGCTACATGTTCAGTATATACTGTGATCCATACCAGACAAGTAAGAGGGTTATCAATATGTAAACCACAGGAAGTCTTATAGTCTAATCATATTAGCAAATTTCCCCGAAATAATTGTAAAGTCATGTTTTATTGGTGCAAGTTGATAAGAATCAATTAGTTGCGTGCAATTATCGTCGCCTTACCACCAAGTGCCAAAACCTGCATTTTGCCCCGTTTTTCGGCCATAACATTTTTGCTATTAGTCGGATCTTTTTAATTGTGGTCTCATTTTATAGTTGTCATAAATACCTAAAAATCTTGTATGAAGGTTTTTTTGTTTCTGCCAACACATTCGATTGAATCCCAAAAACACGTTTTCTCATTCTTTGTTGTCAAGTAAAAAGTTTTCCCACAAAAATTGGTGTACCCATTTTATGCGTCCATGTTTTGAATACCGCCTTGAACAACTTGCAGCAATAAAACCAGACTTCAATTATTTTGCCAGGGGTATTTTTGTCTAACATGATTAGACTATTAGATGGTCATCAGTATTTCGGTCAGTGTTCTATATGATCAATAAATACTAACATCCATGTTACAGGTTTAATATTACACTCCAAATACTGAGCATGTAGCATTTGTAATAATATATTTCAACTCAGAGTTATTCTTGCAACTCTGACTAAGCAGTGTGACTACAAAACTATCTATGCTTAATAGATATACTATCTTTAATGTCATTACACTATTAAAGGAAAATGAGAGACAAAACAAGAGTCAAGTAGTTCACCTCATCATGCATCTTGTCAGGATGCTCATCAGTCTCACCACTATTGCTACTAAGATCGCCACCTAACTCAAATGAATGATGTCTATTTCACTAATAATTATGTATGTTGTGATATTATGTACTTAGGTTATGGATCTCAAATCCTCCTAGACAAAACATACATATTATCTGTGATGATTGTATAGGTATCATAAATGTATTGATACTGACACAGTAATGTCTGTATACTTCCTTTGCTCTTTAATCTATTTTCTCTCTTCATCAATACCAAATTTTAATAACATATGTATATTAGATGAAAATGCCAGCACTTTTCAAAAATGCTTATTACATTAGCCGACTGTGAACGATTTTAATGAATTCATATGCTTGTTTCCTCATACATTTTCTAATTACCAATTATGGATTACCATACCAATTTTATGATCAATATTGTGAACCAATTTTAGACAAATTGTTTTCAAGTGTGCAGAATATGTTATAGTGGAACAACTGAGTGACAGTTATTTTACTACAATTAGACAACATAAATTAAGGTTATTGCAACCCCACCCATAAGCTTGCTTCTGTGGGTTTCCTGTTTGTTATCCCTTCTAAACAGTGTATGCATTCATATCAACTTTATCATATATTATTGTTATTTTTGGTAAATAAACTTCACTTGTTTTTCGTGAGAGGCAACAAGAAAAGGATGAAATCTTGGCAGACTTATTAAGATACAAAGTAAGAGTTCTTAAGGATGCAGTCATTATGGAAGAATTAGGCCAGAAACAAACTTCATTCTGTGTTTATGACAGGATTTAGAAAATTAATGTCCATATGAATATATAATAATAATAATAATAATATTTATTCACTCAATATATGTTCCAAAGCTTTGCATGAACACAGAATGATTGTCCAATTCTTGTGTGGCTACATCCTCGAGATGTATTTGAAAGGAAAAGTGGTTATTTCCTCAGACCTCAGAATGTGAGTATGGTAGAACATTCTGTTTACCTTTATGTAAAAACGGTATATCCTAATCCCAAGGTAGTCTTCATTTTCAACATCTTCTTTTCTGGCATTGAACTTCTTGCCTTTATAAATGTATTCTCCACAAGTTGCACATCTCATATTGAATGGAGCCATCAATCTCACTGTATACTGCCTATTTTTAGGTAGTTTCATGCGAGGGATTTTGGCTGGGTCGAAATCAGGGGGATAGTATTTCTAAAATGTTGAAGATTGTTTTAATCATATGAAATTGGAGAAAAAGTTGCTGATAATAGTACTTACATTTAAAACTTTTCTTTCAGACATTTGTAAGGTCTGTAGGGCTCCTTATAGTCTAAAAATAACAATATAGGGAAATATAGAGAAATATGGTTTGTTATTGTTTCCAAATTTCCACTGCCACTGCTCCACTGCTGTCATACGTCTAACCTCACATTCTCACAGCTCACAGGAAAGAAAATGGCGAACACGGTAAGAAAATGTGGCACCAGTGGCGGAACAATAACTTTTTTGGAGTAGATGCAGTAATAAGCGATTACCCGATAACCAAACATATTTTGTGCCGGATAACGAAACCATAATTATATTTTGTGACGAAAACCATTCGACATACATGATCTCATGGTTATTTTGCAATGCGGACTTTATTAGATTCTTGGTACAGTGGTCGGTGACTTGTCGGTGATTGTGTCTGGGATCCGGCTGTATGAATTCCGTCTATATAGCGTAGCAAAATGAACGGAATTTGTGTGGCGGGATCTTGGACATGACCAATGACAGGCTGGTGACAACTGTACGAACAGGACTTATAATTTTACACTTACAGTTTTTCCCATGGTTGGCGTTTTCGTGTCAATATCAAACGAAATAATTAAACAGATTAACTAATGGTACCCTTCGCGTAGCTATTAAATAAATTAAATAAAAATAATTGAAATTGTACACTGCGCAAGCCGATCCGTAATACAATTGCTAGTGCTCTTGCACTCACACATGGATTAGGTGGAAAAGTACGCTGTTTTCACTCACTCACTAAAAATATTTATATATAAGTTTAATACAGATGGTCGACATTGTAGTTGTATCTTCAGGTAGCAACCAAGCTAACGTCTTTGAGTTTACATAAACCTATGTCTGGGTGTATAGACCGGCTACACATGTATGCATGAGGGAGATGAATGCATGAAAGTAATTTCAACGTTTCGGCCACCGTGTATGCCTTTTTAAGTACAAATACAAATTCTGGTAACAATCACAATAATCAAATTCAAGCGGATAACCAAATGGAAATGGTATTTACCATTTTGGGTTGGTATTTACCAATCCGGTCAAGCGAGTGTAGTTATCAGTTTGGTTATAAGATCCGTGACGTCACGAATCAGCTGTTATATGTCATAGTTATCACCGCAAAATTGTGGTATTTACCCAACTCAAGAGTAGTTTTATATTTCTGGTTATTATTTAAAATCTGACAAGTTAGAATTTTGCCGGGGATTGGATATTGTTGTTGTACTTCAGCTTCATTTATGAGAAAAATCCTACAGGCTGACTTCAGTTTTACCATACAGTGGAGCACCTTATTAGTTATACTCATTACGGTTGTTGGGGACACTTTAAATGTAGTTCCTATGCTTAACAAAGTATCCTGTGTAGCCATATACCACAAGAATATTAAAATATGGCCATATAAACTCACTAGATGATATCCACCTGTATACGGTTTTACTCATTTCTTTTTTCATCATTTCTGCTGAATCAATAAATGTTTTCTTTGACATGCGGAAAAATTTAGAGAATTGAAAGTTATCATAGCTACAAAGCCATGGTTCCATCATTAAAAAAAATCTGAAAAAAACATTTCTCCCATGAATATTATGAAAGGTTTCTTATTTAAACTTTCCATATACAGTTGTAGATGAAAAAGCACCGACTATTAAGTGATAATAAAAATAATCAGAGATTATATACGCGCTTTTCTAAAATAAACAACTTGCAACAAAACCGCGGTTAAAACCAACGCGTTCAAGCTATTCGTGTAACTGACGTCATCAACTCGTGTGTCATCTTGAACCATATTATAACCGCGGCACATAACACAGAAATTTTGGTTATTCGCTTGGATTTGATTAATATATTTTTTGTTTAAACTACATATGTTCCCGTTCGCTAGGAGCAAAGTTACATATTGGTTGTAACTGAACTGAACTGTTCGTCACGGACGCGGTGGAAAGTAAGGGTAACATCCTCGGATAGACGGTGGAATAAAGGCATGGCCTTTATGCTTTATGCATGTTGAAATCTGTCATGTGTGGTCATCTGAGGCCTGGCAAATGTGCAAATATTTTAGGGATTTTTTCGCGAGTCCACGGTGTAGCACCGTGCACTACCGGGAACCGATACTCAAATTTTCGCGAAGAACGAGAATAGGGGAAGACGGATGTGACGTCGTCCGAATGTCAAAAAATCACGTGTTGCGGGTACCCTCCTAACGTCTGTGAGGTACAAGCGGGTGACAGGTCTTATGTCAATGTCAATAAAAAAACAGGCATCTCAACTGAAAATTTGTCTTCGCAGTGCTGAGTTAAATTATTAAATCATAAATGGAGGAACACGTCCACCTGATTTTAAATGACGAGGGAGAAGGTCATCGAAGATATATGAACCGCACTTGTATCAAATGATTTATTTCACTCACAAAAAACGATCGGTCTTTTTATTTCAGATTCAAACAAGGCAGCTAAGTTTATCAAGGAGCTTAAAGCAAACATTTTGCGCAACATGCTCCATCTAACCACTCCCGGTGCAACTTGAAATTGTCAAACTTCGAGAAAAAGGGGAAATTCCATCTGTTCCCGCTCCGGTTCACTACGGGATCTCGCGAAAAATCTCTTTTGTTGTAATCATAATACGTCAGTTTCTAACGCAAATTCACACTTAGTCTAGGGATTGCATTTCTGTCATTACAGGGCCAATAAACGTTATATTTAGCACGAATGACTTTGGCAGCTTAAACTTATTTGAGATTGCATCAAATATGCATACATATATTTTGAAATGAGTATTGAAAAGAGGAAAAGAGAGACTTTTATATTAGACCTTATAGTCCTATAAAAAAACTTTATAATTAACTTAGCAGCGCAATAATACAGTTCCTAGGACGGTCCTGACCGTCTAACTTGAAAGTAGTATCGATAGTACTCTGCGAGTTTATATCATGTGTGAAAGTTATTAGTTCGATTTATTTACTGAAAAGTTCACCCATCAATCCAACACTCACCAAGACGTCGGTCACCAAAAAACCAGCAAGTAAGTGGACGTCCTTACATTACTGCAAGAGATATCGCTAAACGTAAACAAACACCGGTGCGGTACGGTCAGCCGTACTGCACCTAGATCCACGCGGAGTTCGAGCAGTACCGCCAGGGCCGGCTCCAGAATTTTGTCAACCAGTCTCGCACTAAAACTATCTAAGCATGACTCAACCTGATAATAATAGAAACAGTACACCTACTTCATCATCATACTCCAGTGCACTCCTACAGCAACCAGTCAGCAAAACACCATCAAAAAACCAAGCGATTCTCCTAACAGCAGTAGATGGAATAAAAATCCATGATTATATTATTGCAATTGGCTCGATTGTAGGTCCCAAAAATATACTGTTCGCATCAAGAATTGCTAACGGCCGAATCTGTATGTATCTGAGTAACACTGATAGCGTGGACAAAATAATCACTGAACACAAATCCATAAAGATCCAAAACCACGACATCGAAATAAGACGACTTGTTACACCTGCTCAAAGGCTAGTTATTTCAAATGTCTGCCCCTCTGTGCCAAACAACATTATTGAAAGTTCACTAACAACTATGGGCCTGAAGCTACTCTCCCGCATAACTTACCTCCGAGTTGGAATGCCGGAGAATGAATACAATCACATTCTCAGTTTCCGTCGACAAGTGTATATTGCACCACCTGTTAGCGAAATCGTAGACTCTACCACTATAACCTTCGAGGAAACGACATACAGGATATTTTTCTCCGTAGACGGACCAAGCTGTACTCTTTGCAAGCAAACGGGACATACATTGGAAAAATGCCCCAAATCACAATCCAGAAATGAAGACACCGAAACAAGAATGGGATTAGATTCATCTAATGTACATAACAAAACTAATACATTGAGCTTAAACATGACTGCAACCATACAAGACAACTCTGTATCAGAGGAAACTCGACCTAAACGACAAATCTCAACATCCCCCGTATCTACTAACACCCAGCCTACATTAACTGAAGCCCCCACTAAGAGAATCAAAACATCAAAAGTTTCTGAGGAATCCTTGGAACCCGCCGAGGAATTCATAAACTCACGGTTTACGTCAACCAAGCTAAACGTGTCAGAGGTAGCGGACATGATAGAAAATACATATAAATCCAAAGATATAATAGCAACTTTTAGAAACTACACAAATAACATACCGGATATGAACAAATTTTTAGCTGAACTATACTCACATTTAAAGGATAGGAGCACAAAAATAAAAATTACAAAAATCAGAAAAAAATTAGCGAAACATCTAGAAACCTTATCATCCAAAAACAGTGAAGAAAAGGATCTAGAATCATCCGATGGCGAAGTCTCGGGATCCTCTTTCTCAACATACTAGATATTTTCATGTTTCTAATTCAGTGGAATCTGAACGGGTACTATACCCATAAAGAAATGCTCAACTTGCTAATACGTGAAAATAATCCATATGTAATCTGTCTGCAAGAAACTCACCTCAAGAATGATAATCACAGCCACACACTCAAGAACTACTCTAGCTTTTACAAAAATAGACCAAATCAGGATAGAGCAGCAGGAGGAGTAGCAATATTCACCAAAACCTCTATACAAGCAAAAAGACTTCCCATTACTACAGATCTGGAAGCTGTTGCCGTGTCGATCACATACCACTCAACCATACATATCTGCAATATATACATACCACACCCAAAAGATATAGACTTTAACGCAATAGAGTCTTTGCTGCTACAAATTCCCATGCCCAGAATCATAGTAGGAGATTTTAATTGTCATAATATATGCTGGGGATCAGACTTCTCTGAAAGATACGGCATGGAGCTAGAAAACATATTTGACAATATTGGTCTCATACAACTTAATGATCGTCTCAGCACTAGGTTCAATGCTTTCAATGGGAAGTTCTCGTCCATTGATTTATCTTTCTGTGACCCTTCTTTAGCCCCTTTTCTCCACTGGAACCCCCTATCTGACCTCTATGATAGTGACCACTATCCTATAACTATTGGTCATAGTAAAGATGATGCTTCTTGTGCATCCACTACACAAAGATGGAAGTTGAATAAAGCTGATTGGGATAAATACCAACAGCAGGTTGAACAACGCCTACCATTACTTCCCACCTGTGAAGACATCAATATCGAGATCGACAGCCTGATTCACGTTATAAAAGATGCCGCTCACATTGCTGTAGGAAAAACGAAAACCTGTAACAGAAAACCAGTCCCATGGTGGAATCAAC